GCGCGGCGGGCGGCCGGCGCCCAGCGGCCAGCGGCCCGCAACGAGCATCGCCAGGGAGACCGTGCCGTCGACGCTGTAAGTTGATGGCGAAGGCCCCTGGCAGGGCCAGCAGCGCGTCCATTCCGAACACCGTCACCATGAATCCTTGCGGCCATCGCGGCGGCGAGGGGCATGGGGGCGCCGCCGCCGCGGGCCCAGCTGCAGCGCGCCAGCCGCCCGCAGCCAGACCAAGCGGCCACTGCAGAAATTCATAATAGGCTGCAGCCCGGGGGCGACCCAGAGAGCGGCACAGGCGGTACCCCCAGGGCAATAGGGGCGGCTGATTGCCACAAGCGCGAGGAACAGGAAGGATGAGGAGTGACAGCTGATCGCTGCAAATGCCTGGAGAAAGGATGCCATGATTACCCCAGGGAGAGAGGCGTACCACAGGCGATGCAATGCTCCAGGCAGAAGGAGCAGGGACCGTAAAACCGTGCGCAAGCGAACCCCAGGCGACAAGGATAGAGGGGAAGCGGAAGGACAGGAAATGACAGCTGATCGCTGCAAATGCAAGATCGGAGTACCCCAGGCAGGACAGGAGGAGTGAAGGAGCAGGAAGCGAGGCGAAGTGGTCAAGCAGAGAAACGTCCAGAAGTCAATACGGCCCGAAGGGTCGCGTGGTGGGCGGCGCTGGGTGGTGCAGTCGAGCGTGCGGTAGGGGGCCTACTGTCGATGTCTCTTTTCTGGTAAGGGGCCCGTCCAAGCCGTAGCTGCGCTTGCCCTGCTCGCTACGTCGTGCGTCAGAAGCGTCGCGTTCGTGGCCGTCGCCTGATCGCCCAGTGTTGCTCCGATCGTTCGTCATGTGTTCTTGTCGTGCGTGCCCGAAGCTGGCTTTCAGCCCCAGGTGGTGGTTGACCGCGTAGGCTTCGTAGTTGCAGCGGCGCCAGGCGTCCAGGAATTCGTCGCAGGCCTGCCAGCTCCGCACCATTGAGACTTTAGGAGCAAAGCCAGGGCGCGTTTCGCACCGCTTTGCCCAGCGGTGCCAAACCTCATTGCAAGTGGCGCCGAGCTCGGTTTGCATTCTCTTGATGGAATGAATGGCGGCTGTCATCATCCCTGCTCTGTGCTTCCACCAAGTGCGTGGGCGTCTGGTACATTTGACTGCCGTCGTGGGCGCGGCGGTCAACTGGCGTGAGTGGGTTGGCGGCTCTGTCGCGCCATCCGCCTCGATGCTACCTCCCGCTGGCCTGGCTGTTCCGTGCAAGGCTTGACCAAGTGGACCCACGAATGTGTGTGTGTGTGTGTGTGTCGCTGCGTGCGTTCCCGCTGGAGGTGCGGCTGGCCCGTCCGATGCTTGCGGGGTTGTGCGCGCGTGTCCCGCTTCGTTGGTCCTGGTCATAGGGGTTCCGTGTCGGTCGCTGGTAGGGACACTTTTTTTTGGTCGGCGGCCGCGCGACTACGGTCTGGCGGCAACAAGCGTGTCCGGGACGGCGGGACAAGCTAATTGCACACAAGGTGCGGTGCACGTGCAGTGAGCAAAATGCTCCGCATTCGCCGAGACGCACCTAGGCGCCGCCCGGTCCAAAAGAACGAGCGCACAGTGGTGCGGGTGCTACGGAACGTCGCCCTTGCGGCGCCAAGCTCCGAGCATCACCCCAGACCAACAACTGGCACCAGCCCGGAGCTGGTAGGGACACGCGGAGCGTCAACAACTGAGCTCTCTAAAAACTTAGCAGCCGTCCCACGGACGGAGGGAGATTCGTTTTCAAAGTAGTGCTCCCGCCTCGGCGCCGCAAGCTGTCGACTTACAAATGTTGCAACAGCTTCACGGGTGGAGAACGGTTCCTTTTCAAACCAGAGCTCTTGCGGTAGCGCCGCATGTTATCAACTTACAAATGTTGCAACAGCTTCACGGATGGAGAAGGGTTCCTTTTCAAAACGTTGCTCTTGCGGCAGCGCCGTGCACATTCGGTTTAAGAATTTGCAACAGCTCCACGGAAGTGGCCCTCGCCTCACTGCCACTCACATTCGCCTTAAACGTTGCAACCGCTTCTCAATTGGAGGGCGGCTCCTTGTCAAAATCAAAGTATCACCTGCCCGGCACGTGTGCCTTCAACATTTGCATTAGCTTCGCGCTTCACGGAGAGGAAGTTCATTGTTTCGAAATGTGGCTATACTCTGAGCACCGCGTTCAATCGTCACAACAGTTTGCAACAGCTTCACGGACGGAGAGAAGCTCGTTTTCAAAATGTTGTCCTTGCCCATCGCGCCACACGCGTTCGTCTTTCAAAGTGTTCAACAGTCTCACGGATGGAAGGCGGTGCCGTTTCACGCACTCGTCTACAACATATGTTACACCCTTGGGGCCCTTGAGCTTGAAGGGGGGGCGATTTCAAAACCTTGCTCTCCCTTTGGCACCACTCGCATCAGTCTCAAATGTCTCCAACAGCTTCACGGATGGGAGCCGGCTCTTCTTCAAAAGGGTACGCCTTAGTGCCGCGCAGAGTTGCATTAAAGCTCGCGGATAGCGGGCGGTTGATTTTCAAAATGGGGATCTTGCCTTAGAAAGGCGCACTTTCGTCTCACCAGCTTGCAACTGTTTCACAGATGGCAGACAATTCCTTTTCAAAATGATCCGCGCGCTTTCGATCTCATAAAACGCTTAGTCAAGTGGAAGACTGCTTGTTTCAACGTGGAGATATCGCCGGAGCCACAACTTCAGCGCACGAAAGGCTGCACGGATCCTTGGCATGCTTCTATTGGGTGGAACTGTCACTTGAAACTTCCGTGGCGCTCTGGACTTGACGTGTCACCCTTTGCACTTCTTCGAGATCGTTGGACAACCCGTTGAACTTTACGACCACATGTTTGCGCTCCTAACTGCGAGCGGCGAAGGTGCCAGTCAAATCCTTTTCAAAGCGGGGCCCTCACCAAAGTGGCAGGCCCAACTGATTGTTGGCATTTCATTGGGGAACGTGCAGGAGAGCAGGTGAGGGGGTTCGGCACGAGCGTGTGTGGCAGCATCGCTTCTGCATCTTTGGTTGACTTGGTCCTGCTCCTCCTCCTCCTCCTCCTGCTGCCCTCTCAGATCGGGGCGTCGCTGAAAATAGTGACGGCCGGTCTTCCAACGTCTTCGGCAGTCTCTCAGCCCCGGGGCCTTCAGGCATAGACAGGCGCGTTCCACTACTCGCAAACAAAATAGTCGCAGATGATCTGAATTCGCCGAGGGGGGCTTAGGATCCATGACATCGTGGAAGACTTGTCTTCGGACGTTCGCGATTAGGCGCTTTGCAAGTAGTGGAGCGCGCTCGGTGAAGACAATTTCTCGGGATGAAACGTCTGCCCGCGGGAGCGGGTTTAAATCCCCTGGGGGGACCACGCCGTGAAAAACACTGCGACTTCCCACGAGAGGGTAGTGCGGCGGGGAAGCGTGCCCCTCCTTCTGCCCCTCTTCTTTCTCCTCCCCTGTTTTCTTCTTTTAGGCAGGCTTTGGCAACTGTGCTGTAGCGTTCTTCCTCCTCTTTCTCCTCCTTCTCTTCCTCTCCAAGCCTGCGGACGGTCTTGTCGAAGCGACCGGGCCCCTATTCCGTTTTCCCTCTCTCAGCTGTTGCCCAACCTGAACACTACAGATGAGCATGTCCAGCGGCGGCGCCGCCTCTCCCGCGTACCGTTTCCGCTTCACACGCAGAAATTCATCATTTTGTCTCCACTTTGGTGAGAGTGGCCCTCCTGTGCCGGCGCGGGCACCATCTCTGGATGCGATGCGATCCTCGTCGTTGCTGCCTCCTCCTTTCCCCTTCCCCGCCTTCCGCTGACCTCTCTTCTCCTCCACCTCCTCGTTCCTCCTCCTGCTCCTCCTCCTGCTGCTCCCCTCATCCTCCTCCTGATGTTTCCTCCTCCAGCTCGTCTTCATCAGCTTCTCCTCTGGCTTCCTCCTCCAATGTGCTCAGCTCTCCATTCACATTGCGCATCACACGATGGGTCACTGTAGGGACCACAGTCGCGTAAGGCACCCCAGTCGGCGGATAGAAAAGGATTCAGGGCCATGGAACAGGATGGCTGAGATGTCAGACGCGGCGCGAGCGCAGCCAGCTTACCAGTTTTTTTGTATGTCCTATCTCCTCTCTCATTGTTCCTCATCCGCCCCCCTTCTCCTCCTGCTCCTGCTCCTCCTTCTCCTCCTCTTCCTCCTCCTCATCTTCCTCCATCTGTTCCTTCTCCTACCCGCCCCCTGCTGCAAACCTCCCCCCTTCTCCCTCCCCGACTCCCCCTGCCTCGTGGGCAAGGAATGTATCCATGTCCAACGCCTCGCCCCCAGGACTCCCTGGCCGCGGCCAATGTTTGTTTCGCGGTTGCACCGCGCGGAACGCATGCACTGCACAGGGTCGCGTGTCCGTGGGGTCCCGCCTCAGTGTCCAGACTGCCGAGGCATGGATATGGATATGTCCGTCGCCCGAGATATCTTTTTGTTTTTCGGTGATAATCCCAGTTATCCGGTGGGGATGGGGGTGGTGGGGGGGAACGGCCGACGTACGCCCGCGCGCACCAATACTTCGGACGGATATTCAGGGGAACGGGGGGGCGGGCAAGTCCGATGACCTGGGTTATCGCCAGACCCTGAAAAAAAAGTCTCCTCGTGTATGGGGGCGAATTGAACCAACGGAAACTCCAACATCGGCCAACGGACCCATCCTGGGGCCCAAAGGCAACAACCTGTCGAGCTGCGTGCAACCGTGGCGACGAGGGCACCCCCCCCACCCCCGAAGGCGAACTACCGCTGTATTGACTTGACCTCCTCAAATTCGTCGTTAGCCAAGTTTGCAGGTCTACAGCTTGGGCCTCTGGGGCCGTTCAGGACGATCGGGGCAAGCCCCGAACGTTCTCGACGAGGCGCAGCTGCTGGAGAGCATCCCGATGCTGCAGAGCCGCCGAGAACCGACGAAAACGCACGAAGACTTCAGCCCTTCAACGTCCACCCCCGCCGTGGCGGGCCCTGGCGCGCGCACGTCCCGGGAGGCCGCCTGGGGCGGTCTTGATGAGCAGCTTCCGGCCGTCAAGGTGCGTGATGTCGAGCTCGAAGCCGCAGAGCGCCTCCGCCGCGGGCGCGGGCGCGCGGTGCGGCCGGGCGTCTGCCCCGCCGCACACCCCGCGCGCAAAGGCAAAATTTAGCTAGCCTCGATCTCATCGCTGTCCCTGAGATTGACAAGCCTAGATGCGATGACAATCTCAGGAATGCGCCCTCAGAGAACGAGGGAGCCCGTCATCTCAGCATCGAGATCAGGCGATGCCAATCACAGAGATCGGGATATGTTCCAGGCAGGTCATGTTTCCCAGGCTCAACGCGGGCGCGCAGCTCGCAGTGTCCAGCTACGAAATCTACCCTCCGACAGGCCACGCACACCTCCCACATCAACTGGCAGCGTGAATCAAATCGCATTGACGTTAAAACCACAAGACACGGCCGGAACGAGGATGAAGGAGGACGAGGACGCGGAGGAGGGGGGGGCGGAGAAGGACGGGGCAGACATGCCGGGAACTATGTCTTAGCGGACCCTGCAAGAGTCAAATGGTCACAGAGCGAGCTCCGTGCCTACATGCGTATACGTCGTTCATTTCTAATCGTGCTCATTTCTAATTGTGCCCGTTTCTAATTATTCCAGGCCCCCTAGTGGCCAGGAAGAGGCCCAGGATAGAACAATTAGAAATGAAAGGATCTTGGCTCCCCAAAGACCCTCGAATACTTAGAAATGAACAGTGTGTGCAGCTCGCAGTGTGCTTCTCGCATGCCCTCTGTGGGGCCTCCGAGGCAGACGGCTGCGGAGGCGGGGAGGCGCTGCTGGCATCTCGTCCATCCCGCCCACGCTGGACTGTGTGCGCAGCTGTTTTGCTTTGCTGGGAGTCCCAATATGTCGACACGCCCGCGCAACAAATCATCATGCTTGCGTTTTTTCTCCAAAAGCAGAAGAAACAAAACCCAACAACAGAAACAACAACACCATACACATAAACTTTTGGCGCTCCGCGTGGATTTCTTGGATCCGCGCTGGGGGCCCCCCGGGCGGCGCCTTGGCTGAACTCATGACGATTTGGCGGCGAGCGCGCGGGGGAAATGAGAAGGAGCAGGCCATTTCAGATGGCTCAAAGTCCCCCCTGTCTTCTGAGAAGTTTTCGAAGCCTACCCCGACGACACAGAAGATCTCTCGGAAGGCCAGGGGCCTTCTGAGAAGCCCCGCCCGCCTTCCGAGGAGGCCTTCTCTTTCTCGCTTCCCCCCCTCGCTCGCAGCCGCGCGTTGCCAAAACCTGAACTCAGAACGATCTTCGCACGATGCTCACAGAGACTGGGGGCGGACGATGCTGGGCCTGTTTTCCACCACCACCACCACCATAAGTTGGAGGGGGGGAGGAGGAGGAGGACGAGGAGGAGGAGGACGAAGAGAAGGAGGAGGAGGAGGTGGAGGAGGACCCCCTCCTCCAACCTATGGTGGTGGTGGAAAACAAGCCCATCAGACGAACGTCGAGCCTCCACCCTCCCAAACATCCTGGCGCCTTGGCAACCGTCCAGGCCGAGCCTCTTCGTCGCCCCTGGCGCCCTGATCCCGCTCCCGGGCCCCCCTAAGCCGTGCAAGGACCATCCGTCGTAAAGGGGCGGTCCCTGGGAAGCGCCGCCATGAAGGAGAAGGGCCTTGAAGAAAATCCTGCATGCCTCACGCGGCAACTTGAGACCCAGTGCACGTCGGAATTACGTCGGGCTCACGTTTGGCTGCGTCGGATTTACATTGAAACATTACCGCGCGCACGTCGCCCCGCATCTGACGGGCCGGAAGTGGTGTGGATCAGATGATACAAACCCCTGCGCGCCGCGCGACGCCTCGAATAATTTCCTCCCAGAACGCGGGTCCTAGACCCCGAGCCTTCCCCAGAATCAACTCTTCAGCCTGAGCTGCCTCCTGACGGTCCCGGGGTTGGGGAGACCAGAAGGTAGTTACCGCTACCGCTGCTCCCCGGATCTCTCGTGGGGTGCGCTCCGACCAAAACTTCGAAGCGAAATCAGCGGTGGCGACGAGGGCCTCCCCCGAGGCCCAAGAGGGGGAGAACGAGGCGAGGGCAGCGGTATGGGCACATTCTCCCCCGCTGAGGGTTCCCACTCTCGGGCCCCAAGGGCCCGAGAGCGGTGAAGAACCTGAGCCCTCAAGGAGGGAGGAGCGAGGAGGGAGGATGAAGAGGAGGGGGAGGAGGACCAGTGCAAACCCAAGACTCACCAACGATGTTGGAAGAAGCCCTCCCTCCAAGCTCCCGCCTCATAGGCCCCTGCAAAGGTTCATTTCCACTGGGGGAGCTGCCCCGTTGGGAGACAACTGTTTGAAGGCCCTGAAGCGTTCACAAACTCTCATTCTCGGGACTCCCACGCGACGGGTGAACCTGAATGTTGCGCCTTGACATTCCTGAATCGCGCCAGGAAAACACTCCTGGGACTTGAACACCGCGAATAAACGTAATTGTTGCACCCTCGAATTCCTGAACCCCTTCCTATACATAACTTCCGGTACGTTGACTATGGGAACCCGTGCCACTCTTGCAACATTTCAAACGAATGAACGCGGCACTGACAGCGAGAACCACATGTTGAAAACCAGCCGCCCTCAATCCGCGAAATTCTTCAAAGCGAGAGCCAGAACAAAAACACGACGGCCCGCCCTCAATCCGTGAAACTCTTCCAACATTGCAGAATGAATGTGCGCGGCGCTAAGGCGAGAGCCACATGCTGAAAACCACCCGCCCTCAATCCGTGAATCTCTTGCAAATGTGTGAAACGAATGTGCGCAGCCCAAATCTCGAGCCACACGTTGGAAGCGGCCCGCCCTCCATCTGTGAAGCTGTTGACATTTGTTTAGCTTCAAGGCCATAAATGGCGAGGAGGTTTCGAGCGAAACGCCCGGCTCGCCATTTCGAGCGGCCTCGGGGGGTGTGACAGGGCGGAACTGCATGGAGGAGGAGGAGGAGGAGGAGGAGGAGGAGGAGGACTTCGTCCCTCCAGGACCCGCCAGACCCCACGAGATCGGCTGCCGAGGGGCCTCGGGGGGGGGGGGCCTGTGCCGAAACACAAAAAGACCTTGGAGGCCTGGGCGTCCGCCCCCTGCCGCGCGGCAGCTGCCGTTGCGGAGAGGCCAAGGCCGCCACGGAGGCGGCGGCGGCGGCGCAGCGGGCGCGCAGCGGCGCCTGCCGCGCGGCAGGTGGCGGAAGATGGACGGCGAGGGGGTGTCAGATGAGGGGGAGGAGGGGGCAGGATGACTCTTGGGTACGAATTCCTGGGGGGGCGATCTTTGGGCGGGCAGCGAGGGCCACAAGAAAAGGGGCCCTGTAGGGCACATTTGCTCCCTCCTGGCATGGCCAGGGAGGCGTACACACCAGCGCCGGGCCCAGGATGGGCCTGGCCGGAGTCGGTGCCGGCTCACAGGTGACGCTTCCCTTGCAGAGGGGGATGCGTGAGCTCTGCGCTGCTGTCCCCAGCCATAGGGGGCCACATGCGAGCCCTACCCCTACCCTCCACGATTTCTGAGGGGGAGGGTTCGCATGTGGCCTCCTAAGCCAGGAAACCACGTGAATCCGAACGGCAAGAAGGACGCTCTGGCCAGGGACTGTTCAAGTCGGTGCTCTCCCCGCTCCATCGGGAAGCGAGCATACACTCTCATCGTCTTCTGCACGCGCACTTGAACCCAGCCGTGAGGGATGGTGGAGGAGAAGGGGAGACTGTTTTCGGTGGCGTTCGTGTGTTTGTGGGGCCCTGGGAGGCATCCCAAACTGGTGCCCCATCCAACGGCGGGGGCTCGTGTTACCATGCGAGAGGATCACCAAGGCAAGAGACCAATGTCTGAGAGGAGATGAGAGAGATGGAAGAGGAGATCGGAGACAAGTTATGTGCACTCGTGCCATCTGCGACATCCCACAACGCCTCCCCCACCCATCCCTTCTCATTGCGGAGAATGATACTGTATCCGTGATGTGTCCTAAAGCCTAGGGGACTTTGAGCCCCCAAGGGTGTCCATTATGTGATGCGCAATCCGAAGGAATTTTGTGTCCGTTTGGAGGAGGAGGAAGAGAAACAGCAGCAGGTAGCGGATGAGCAGGCGGATGAGCAGCAAGACGAGAAGGAGGGAGGAGGAGGAAGGAGAAGGAGGAGAAGAAGGAAACGCAGGAGTAGGAGGAGCCGGAGGACGAGGAGGAGGAGGAGCAGGAAGATCAGCGGAAGGCGGAGAAGGGGAAATAATAGGCAGCGGAAGCGACGACGAACACATCAAAGCCAGCAATGTGATCAGAATCTGGGCCAGGGCGAGTGCGCCACCTGGTGTATGAATACACACCGCCGATCCCGAATGCGGCAACTGCTGCAACCGAAACACCAGTTTTGAAAGACAAAGGGCGGCCCCATAGAAGAACAACGCAGGACACACAGAAGACATACATCCTGCGACAGAGAAACACAATCCATCAGGGAAGAACGGCGTATTACTTAGATTATACCACGTAGTTGCTCACACACGGGAAGGCAATCCGGAAAAAGAAAGGAGAGGAGTAAGGAACGACAGAGGACGCGGGAAGAAATGATGTGAAGAGTGGGCATGGGAGAAAGAGGTGCGCGATCGGAGCTCATGTGGCTACGTCGCGTACGGCTCTAAGGGTAATCTCCGAGCGCGAAACGAGGGTCGGCCGAGACTGGGGACATCGCGACCAAACGTGTTCGATCGACTTCCCCTACACACGCAATTTCTCCCGCATGCCTCCACAAGAGAAATCTTCTTCTCCATGAACAAGTCGGCGCCCTTCCGCTTGAAGATGGGGTGCTCCTGCTGCTTACAGACGAAGATGACGTCACCGGTATCCGCATCGGGATGCTCGTCGGCCATCTCTCGAAAGGGAATCTGGCGCGGCTGTTTCGCCCTCTCCCCCCCCCCACGCACCCTCTGCGAAGCCCTGGTCATCAAGTGGTCGGCAAAAGCAAAGCGTGCCGAGGCGTTCTCGTTCCGTGACTGTCTTCTCGGGCATGACCGTGCGATAGCTGAACGCGTCGCAGCGTGCCTCTCAGCCTCTCCCTTCCTCTCTCCGCTCTCCCTCAGCCAGTCTGCTCCTGTTGCTCCTGCGCCTTTCCTGCTGTTCCTCTTCCTGTTCTCATTCCTGTCTTTCCTGCTTCTCCTCGTTCCCTCAATCCTCCTCCTGAGCGTCCTTCTGCACTGGGTATGATAAACGAACCTTTCAGCAAGGATCCAATTGTAATTTCTTATTCGTCGTGGTTTCAGGCCCAGGGGCTGGTGGAGGAGGACAAGGAGAGGGAGGAGAGGAAGATAGTGAGAAGGGCGGTAAGAACATGCAGAAGGTAGGCGCGAGGATGATGAGCGGCGGGCAAGTTGGAGGTGGGGGGGAAGGAGAAGATGTGGATGGGTGAGGGTGAAGGGTACGACGACTGGAAACGGGAAGCAGGAGGGGGAAGGGGGAAAATAGCGAGGAAGAGGGTGTGGGGGCTCATCTCAATCCCCTCCCTGAGACGCTCCCCGGCTCTTGAGACTTCCCTGCGCCATCGATGGACGAAAGGCTCAGGCTCACAAACCTAGAAGGCGGTCAGAACCCGTCACACCCATGGGCGCGGCAAAGATATGCAAAGATGGAGGGAGACGGGAGGAGAGCCTCATCCCCCCCCTGGAGTCCATCTCTTACCAAGGGGCAATGATGCCCCGCGCCACCTCACAAATAAGATACCCCCGTGGGAACAAACAACGACATAAACATAAATGGTTGGAGGTCCGTGGGGCTCCAATCCGAGAAATCCGCGCGGAGCTCCGAACATTTTTGTTGTGTAATGTGTTGTTCCCCGACTTGTTTAACACTCCCTCATGTTTGTGATATGTCCCCTTACTCAATTCTCCCTCCTCATGTATGCGTTCACGTGCAGCTCCCAGCCCGCACCTTCCACGTGGCGCCAGCGAGAACACACCAACGCCATCGACCAAATTGCCTTACCAGTGCAGCTGCAACCAGATGTGAAACGGCGACGGCATTGGATGAGGAACCATTGGGTAAGGAACCCAGGGTCTGGAGGCCAGTGAAGCACCAATTGAGGCTTGGCCATGGATAACCACGCCGCCTTCATCAGATAAGGAATCCTCGAGGGTTTGACGCCTCCGGGGCAGAAGGGGCTGATCGCCCATCACCACGCATTCACAATCAAATCTGCATACGTACCATGAGTTGGTCTCCTTGTGACCGTCCATCGCGCCTTTCGTGATCACCACCTCCAGCACCTGAAGGTACGCTGATGCACGGAATCACTGATGGGATGTTCGAACACATGAGCACACGCGTACGAGTTGAAGAAAATGGGCGGCGATGATGCGTGCTGTGCGCATTCGACGGCAAGTCTTGATCGTAAGGAGGGGAGCCGCCCTTGGCTTGGGTGCGAGCGCACGAATGTACCCGTGCGTGTTTTGCGAACGATCCCACTAGACATAGGATCCCACCTATGCCTCACAGACACACATACACACACCTTACACATCTGATCGGCCCACGGTCCACTCGAAAGCACCGACAACGTCCGCAAACCACTCCCCCTCCCCATGCGTTCCCTTCCTCCTCGTCGTCGTCATCATCCTCTTCCTCCGTCGGTCGTCGTCGTCGTCCTCATCCTCCCCCACCTCAGCTGATCGCTGTGCAGAATCACTGACTGGGACGGCGTATACGTGGACGTGCGGAGGAGCGAAGATTCCAAGTCCCCTGGAAGGATGCGTAGTCATAGGGCCTTGCGGGACCATGCCGTACTCTGGGCCTCGGTGCTGAGAACGGGGAGGTTCTGCTTTGCCATGCGTGCGTGGCCCAAATGGGCTTCTGAGTTAACCGAACACTTCAAAGAAGGCCGCCCGCGGTTGCTTTCCATCATCTGTTTGGTCCGACTCCTTGCCGCGCTCATACTTCGCGTCCTGCTGCTGCTGTTCATCCTCCTCCCCGTCCCGTCTTCTGATTGGCGACCGAAGGGTGATTTGCCTGCGCACAAAAACGTGTTCCCGTTAGGAGGAGGGAGAGGATGATGATGATGATGATGATGATGATGATGAGGAGGAGGAGGAGGAGGAGGAGGAGGAGGAGGAGGAGGAGGAGGAGGGGGAGGAGAGGGAGGAGGAGGAGGAGGAGGAGGAGGAGGAGGAGGAGGAGGAGGAGGAGGAGGGGCGACCGTAGCCGATGAGTCCAGGCTACAGAGCGGCAGCGCGATCAGCAACCTATGGCTGCTTTCCCTGCTGCCAGAATGGTGTAGCGAAATGGTGGTGTGCAGGGAACGCTCCCACGAATATCGCATTCTGCCTTGAGTTTGTGATCTATGTGAAACGCCAACGCGCTAACCATGTGCAGAAGGGCGCGGGGATACTCCCGTTCTGGGTCGGGCTCCATGCCAAACCCGAGCCGAGTAATGGGGGAGGCGGGCAAATGGCAACGAGGGAGCGCAAGCAGGTGAAGCAAGTGGGGGCACGAAATATAGTGGCTGAACTCGTCACGTGCTGAGGGCGCGCACCCGAACAGACAGGGCCTCTGAGCCGTGGCTGGGAGCCGAGCTGAGGTGGTCCAGGCGCCGGCCAGCGTCATGGGGCGGGCCCATGCCCAGGACGGCGGAGTTCTGACCAATATCCTACGTAGCGCTGCTGCCTGATCTAATCGTCGGGGAGGTGGGGGAACCGGGGGAGCCAAAAATGAATGCGACGACGAAGGGGGGAGGGCATGAGATCAGGGAACATGGAAATCCGGAGCGAGCGGGCGAACACTCGCTGTGGGAAAGGGCGGCGGCCGTCCCGACCGGCAGCGCGGAGCTCCGCACTGGACAAGGGAGGGGTTGGGGAATACCCATGGGAGGAGTGGAGGACGGCGAAGCAAATTACTCGGCTATGCTGACACGATTCCTCCACCATTCAGGCGAGAGGGCCCCTCGGATGTAAGCCACGAGGTGCCCATGGTCCCAAGCATGTTCTCGCAGCTGCGCTAGAGCGGCCTTCCACGCCTCCACTGGTCCCGCCATCAAAGTTTGGTGTGCTGTCGGCCATGCCGCTGCAGCGGCGGTCGTGCGGAGCGGGGAGGGGGTGGCAGAGGAAAGCCAGCTACCGATGCTCAACAACTCGGCCAACGCAAAGGAGTTCGGGGGGAGACGCAGGAGGCGGTGGAGGACGTTCAGCAGAGAGAACAACAGCAGGGAGGGGAAAGAGTTGGGAGAGGTAGCGGCACACTGTCAGACTTCCCAGGCCATAAATCCTACAGCTGGCTTCCGCGGGGGGTCTTGGTGAAGGACGTTTCCATGGTCCCGCTCTTCCACTTTCGCACCGCCGCGGCCCACTGATCTTCCAGACCAGCCTCCAGGCCGACCAGACGCCGAAGATAGGGAGCATCTAGCAGTCTTGAACGCATCCCACTCCGGGACCAAAACCTGGAGAAGCTGGCACATCTGTCGAAAACTGGCCTCCGTGAAGCGCTGCCCCCACGGAACTAAAACACACCTGGCAGGCTGAAGCTCCAGCATGGCGATCTTTTCAGCCGAGGCGAAAGGAGGGAGAAGAAGGGGGAGGTCGTGAACGGAGGGGAGAGTGGAGCCCACATCGTCGGCATAAGCGCCGTTGAGCGGCGGCACGCTTGGGAGGTGCCGGATCTGGGCCGTCTGCTCCGCAAGGTTCCTCGAAAACGGATCCATGGCGAGGGCCCAAGGCTACCGGAGAGGGGGAACCCCTGATCGACTCCAGAAGGCACAAAAAAACATCCGAGCACGAAGGGGAAGTGAGCGAGAGAGGAGGCGTAGACGGCATCCACGGAGGCCACGAAACCCTCAGGTATCTTTTGCTTCAAGAAGCAAGCACACGGCGGAGAAGCTGCCGCGACAGCGGAGGAACCGCTGCCTTGAAATCGCAAGACACGAGGACAGGCCTCATCTCACTGCGGTGGCTCGCAGCCCTGCCGCAAACGCCATGGGCGACGATGTGTTCCATGAAACTCCTTCCCCGTATGAGCCCCTGCTGGACGGGGTGCGCTCTCTTGCCGATGACCGCCGACAGCTCGTGGTTGACAGCGGTATTCATGGCCTTGACGTCGGTGCTTTTCAAGCTTAAGCGGTCGCAGCTGCCGGGCACCCCGGATGGCGTGAACCGCGTCGGCGAGCTAGTGGCCTTCGGCACGACAGCAAGGTCCGAGAAGTTGAAGCCCCACGGAGGTTCGCGCCCAGCACAGAAGGCTCACCACGACCGAGTTGAGAACCTGCAGAAACCGCTCGTCCAGCAGCCACGCCGAAGCAGGTAGGCGGTCGGGGCCAGGTGACAAGGGTGCTGCTCGACAGAGGGCCCCCTCAAGCGCCTTCAACGACGGAGCGGGCAACCGCGGGGCGTCGTAGTCAAGGATGTGCTCGGCCAGGCACTGGTCAATCATGGCCTCGTCGACAACATTTCCGCGGAAAACGGGGCCCCAGTGACGGAGAAGCTCTGCGCGCATGGGGGCATCGCCGCGTAAAGTTTCACGCTGGTGGCCGGGAGCATCCACGCGAATGCCCGACAGGTGAAGGAAGGCGTCGGCGATGCGGCACCCACAGAAGCGCGCGCCGGCCAGCAGCGCGATGTAGCGTGTGCGATGCCGAGGGGCCGGCACCTCCTGGACGTAGCCGGGCCGCGTCCTCGGCGCGCTTGGCCGCAAGGCTCTGCAGGCGTTCGTGGCACTGGGCGCGGAGGTGCACCGACTGGATCAAGAAGGCCTCGAGGTCGCGCAGCACCACGCCTCTCGTCAACGAGCAGGTGAGAGGTCCAAAACTCAGTGGCGTCAATGATGGTCTGGGCCAAGGCTGCGTCCTGCCGCCAGATGGCCCTTGCAATAGCTCTAGCAACACTTCGCCGGCCATCGTCAGCTTCCTCGGATCCGTTACCGAGCGGCAGCCGCTGGAGTTCCTTGCGGGCCCAGCGGGCCGCTTCGCGCATCGGGGTGTCGACAAGGGCCAAGCGCGCCGTCGTGCCCAGGGCGTCCAGGTCGGCACAATCGAGGAAAGCCTTCACATGCCGTGGAAAGCGGGGCGACCTGAAGATGTTTTCTGGCATGGCTTGCACGTCGCGGGGCGATTCTGCTTTCTCGACCGGATGGGCTGCTGCACGATGGCATGGTCGCTGATGCCCAATCCGACAAGGAAGCTGCCTCCTGCCAGATCTCCATAGCGTTGTCCGTCTCAACCGCCCAAGGCAATCGCACAGAGACGGATGCGCGGTCAATGAAGGAGCTGCTCTGGGCCGCCTTGGCAAAGCGCGTCGGGAGCTCGCAGCACACCTCCATCATGGAGCCCTGGCAGAGGCGTTTCCAACCAGATTGGCTGGCCTGGGTGCGGTGCCATGCCGAGCCGACTTCCGGAGAAACTCGGGGAGGCATTCCGTCGTCAGAATGTTCCGGGGAGCCTCCGCAGGAACCTTCTGTGCGCAGGTGCGCTTCGTCCTCAGAAGCGGCAGGCGCTGCGCTGTCATGACAACCAGCCGGAGGGTCGAGACGGTCGCGGGGGCGCCGAACCCGGGCCCGGGCAGGTTGGGGACGGAGGTGATGAACGGGTTCATGGTCGCTTACGTTGAAATCGCCGATGGCCACAAACAGACGATGCAGCTCCGCCTGCTGAGCCTAGCGGGCAGAGGAGCCCCACGCAGTCCAGATACGCGACCGCTCATAGAGGGTCAAATCGAAACTGTGGATATTCATCCGTTTCAAAAACTGGTTCCTGCAAGGAATGGAGATCAGCAGCGTGGCCCCCCCCCCGCCGCCAACACCCCGAAGCCGAAGGTCGGGATAAGCGAGGGGTCGATTGCGGCAAGAGTCCTCTCCGAATGCCAGGGGGCAAAGAAAGCGATGCCTCCTGTGCCAGGGGTGGCCCCAGCAGAGAAGAAGAGACGATACTGGTAGGGGTACGGTCGGAGGACCACGCGACTTGTAGGCTCCCGACCATGAGCTTCTTGTAGCAGAATGACCTTGCCTCGGCGCATCACCTGCTCCAGGCGGGCCCACTTGCCACGCCGCTGGTCACCGCGGTGGCACATGAGCCAACGGGCGTTCCAAGACGCCAACCGGAGGCCGAAGGAACTGGAGCCGGACTGCGCATCGCCCAGCACCCAAGGGCACCAGCGCCCATTAGGATGACAACCAGGTCGACGTGTCCACCGCCGAGGGCGTAAGCGCGGCCTGGAGGCGACGCTGGACCTCCGCCTCGTCGATCCTCCAGAGGTCCGCCGCGAGTCCCAGAAGAGCTTGCTCAGCTCATCGAAGCCGAAGCCCTGGGGCACGAGCTTGACGATAAGCACGGACTTGCTGCTGATGAGGCCTGGCGAGCGGTTCGCGGTTCGCAGACCAAGTGCCCTGCGGGTACATCTCGGTGAGGAGTGCCAGTGCCCGCTTCGTGCGCATTTTCATTCGGACCTGCTCGGGAGCTTTGTCGGCTCCGATGTAGATTGGGCACTGCTGACCCGCAAGCGCAATGGCGGAGAAGGAGCGCCATTGCCCGCCGGGCTGGCGCAGCGCTCTGGCGAGGGCGACGGTGCGGGGGGCTGCCGCAGGGCCGCCGTGGATGTGGATGTAGAAGCGTTTGGCGGGGCCCGCGCAGCCCAGCACGTCAATGTGCTCCTCGTCCACGCCCGAGTCGGAGATCCACTGCCGGAGGCTCGCCTTGACCGTCTCGATGGACAAACACTGGTGCGAGCCTGCAGAGAACATGCGCGGGCCAGCGTCACGGCGTACTCTGCCAGGCGCGCCAGGTCCGCGGCCGGGCCGAAAGCTGGCGCTCGGCGATGGCCAGGGACGCCTTTTTGTCGTCCACGTTCTTCTTGAAGCGCTCGTTCCCCTGGACCAAACGATCGTGCTCGCGACGGAGCCGTTGGATGTCAGTGCCGTGACCGTCGAGCCGCTTGAAGGTGGGGTCGAAGAAAGTGGACATAGTTGTGACCACCGCGTTCTGCGCCGCTGCCGTGTTGCGCTGGCACACCTCCTCCATCTGGGCGACCGTGGAGTCCATGTGGGACTTGACCACCCAGGACAGCGCGGAACGCATCTCCTCCAAGAGGGCGTCAGCCTGGCCGGGGCGAGGGGCCGAGCCTTCAGCAGGCGGCGCAGCTGGCAGCCGCGTGGACTGCGTGGCGAAGGTGGGCTTCGCCTCCAGCGCTGCGAGCATTGAGGTGCCGGGCGTAGCCGAAGAGCCCGCTGCGTCTGAGGCACGTCCGCCTGGGGCGTAGCGACCGCGGGAGGCGCCATGTCCACGTCGCCACGGGCGTTGTTCTTGAAGGGCGTCGTGAGCAGCCAATGTCTCGCAGGTGGCCTCCGCTGCTGCAGCACGGGCGTGGAGATCCTGACGGTGCTGACTGCTGCGTTGGGAGCGGCGTGCTGTGCCGTTCTTCTCACTGCGGCTGTAAGAATGAGGCGCATCAGAATCGCCGCTGGGGGAGTCCATGGCGGCGATTGTAATAACTATTCAACGTAGTGGGGACGGGTGCCGGACGAAGTTCGGCAAAGAATTGTCAGGTAACTATCACGGGGAGAATGAGGAGAAGGAAGAGGACCAATGTACACTGTACACCCAAGACGCATCAACGATGTTGTACTACACCTTCTCTCCAAGTCCCCTCTTCATAAGTCCCTGCAAGAGTTTACATATTGGCATTGCACAGAAGACAACCATCTGAGAAACACCAGCCGGACCAAAACCATTACCACCAACGCGTATAACAAGGATGCACGATAAAGATGCAAGGTCCTTGGAAGGGCATGCCGACACTTTTTTTGAGCAGGGCACGGCCAATAAAAGTGACCAAGGATGGGCATAGGAAGAAGGACGCAAAAATAACCTAAGACAATCCTTCATCCTTACTGTCCGTGCTAAGTATAATGGGACCTCAGCGCCGCGAATCAACGTGACTGCTGCGCCCTGGCAATCCAAAATCTTGCCAAAACACCATTCCTGGGATTTCACAGCACGAATCAATGTGACTGTTGCACCGTGACAATGCTGAACCGTGCCAGAACACCTTTCCTGGGTCTGCGCCATACGAACCCTGGAAACGGCTGCAAGCGTTTAACAAGAATGCACGCGGCGCTAAGGCGAGAACCGTATTTGAAAAGGAACCACCCTACATCTTTGAAGATGCTGCAAACTGTTCATACGAATGTGCGCGGCGCTAAGGCGAGAGCCACATTTAGGACAGGAGGCGCCGCCCATCCTTGAAACGGATGCAAACGTTTAGGGCGACGGCTCGCGGCGCTGAGGTCAGAACCACATGTTCGAAATCGCCTTTCCTCCATCCCAGAATCAGTTGCAAGCTTTTAAAGCACGTGTGCGCGGCGCTACGGCGAGAGCGACATGTTGATAACGGCCCGCCCTCCGTATGTGAAACTGTTACAAATTTCAAGGTCCTGGGTCGCAAATGGTTAGGGATTCTCAGGCGAAGCGCCCAGCCCGCCCTGCCGTCACGTCTCGGGGTGCGACGGGGAGGGGGCATCTATAAGGAACATGAATTGGAGAGGAAGGTTAGCTGGGGGAGCATGGGGGGCCAGCGGAGCTGCGGAGAGGAAGCGAGCGTGGAGAACAGAGCTGGGAAGGAGGAGATACAAGGATGAGGACGGGGAGGTACGTGAGGGGAAGCGGCGGAGGCGGAGGGCGAGGCGTGGGAGGAAGAGGATGGAGAGGAGAGGGACAAGCAAAGTGCCGGGGCTAAGGTAAACGCGTGCCAAGAATGCTCAGGACCAACGTGCGTTCTAGACGGAGAGACGTCGCCATCTTCGGACCCCCTGGGGGGTCCTGCAGAGCGCCCGCCACGCGCGATTCTAATGCAACCTCTCCTCCCTGGGCGCTCCCAGACGGAAAACAATCGCCCCTGTCGGAAATCCTGGGGGGCCCGCAACGTGCAGGCCACACGCAATCCTACGTAATGCCACCTCGTCTCTGCGTGTGCGCCCAGGCGAAGAAAACAGTCGCTTCTTCTGAAACGCACTGAGAGTCCGCAGCGTGAAGACAAGCTGCTGATCTTCATGTTGCTCGTTCCGATGCCGCCACAAACAGTCTGACAATTTCCCAGCGAAGACATTCCAAGGCAAGGCCGCCCCAAGAAGTTCCCGCCAGGGACTGTTTCTCTGAATTGCAGCGAGAGCGGGACGTAACAGAGAGGGGGGGCAATACTAGCAACCAGCTTTGCAAGTGCCTCCAGAGACCCACGGAGGTCCCCGAAGGCCTCCAAAGGTCTGCGATCCCAGATCCCTGGATGCCCCCAGAAGCAAGAAACTCCAGCAAACCGTGCACCGTAGATCTTCCACAGCCTTACTTTCCTCCTCCGCACCAGGGCCCCGTACGCGGGGACTTGGCTAAACCTGGCCATTGGCACGCCCCAGAAAAGTGCAGCCGTGGGCCGGAACAGTCTCGATGCGCGGAGATCTCGCGCAAGATGCTCGTTTGCAAAGTCCTGGTCTCTGGGGCACTGAACACCTCCTACATCATTCAATGCAGAAGTCTGGGAACAATTATGGTAACCCTCGGGAATGCATGCCCCTGCAACTGCCCAAATGCGCTGTACACATACATTTGATGATGTGCAATCACGAATGCCGTGTGAACGCGCGATGCTCACCCCAACAAAAAATAAAAGGATCCCCACCTCCTCCTTCTCCTCCTCCTTCCCTCGGTCCATGTCTTTGCTTGAACAGAGAACAATTCATCCTCCTGCTCTTCCTCACCGCTCTCTTCCCCAGCCCCCTTCCCCCTCCCAGACGCAGCACTGCGGGCCAATTGATCTAGAGCACCTGTGCACATCAAAGGCGGGAGCCGCGTCTTACCACCTTCGCCACCGCCTGAGACACCTCCTGGGAAGGCGAAAACCGACCCCCCCACCCCCAGTCCCGACCCCATCCCCGAACCCGCGAACCAAGGGGTCGGGACTGGGGGTGGGAGTGTTCCCTTTCAGAGTCCAAAGAAAAAGAAAATGCCACCACCCCCAGTCCCGACCCTCCTCCGACAAAGTACTGCCCACCATCCTCGCCCCCCTTCCTCCTACTGGGGTCGGGCGCGCCTCCCTCTCCTTGCTGGTGCTGAAGGAGCGGCCCTGGCCCCCGCAGGCGCCGCAGGCCGACTGCATCTGCTGGATCATGGGCCCCATGCGCACGACCTTGGCGCTGTCCCCATAGTCAGTATGCAGCTCAGCTCCGACCCCTCCAATATTCCTCGTCTCCCCCCGACTGTTCAGAACTATCCCTCCTCCCTCCCCAGACATGCTCGCGTCGCGAGGAGATCATAACAGAAATAATTTTGTGGTTTTCACCTTCGGGGGGCTCTCGCCGGGCCCCGTGACCGTCAAACATTACTCGGGGTTCAAAAAAAACGGCCATGGGCAGAGGGTCGGGGCTTCTGGGGGCGCCGTCTCGGAGAAACCAACGCAAGTCCTTCAAACTATGTTTTTCTTCAGCCCCGGGCCCGCCACAGCACTCCCCAATGAAAGCGCAACGATGGCGCATCCATTCCCGGCTGTGAGGCGAAAGGAAGTGGGAGAAGGACCACCTGAGAAAGAGAGGGAGAGAGAGAGAGAGAGAGAGAGAGAGAGAGAAAACGATCTATATATACATTTATCGATGCATTTGCAGACTCTCGGGCGCTAGCCCTTTGCATGCTTCCGTTCCCGCTTCCAACCGAAAACGAAGCATGTGCGATATCTGCCTGGAGCCATCTGCAGGAAAAAGGACGGCGCTAGGCTTTGTCGCCGCATCCGCACAACCGACTACACGAACTTGCTCGTATTAAACGCTCTAGCTCGACGGGCTGGAAGCGACGAAGACCAAGGTATGGGGGTGAGAAATCTGCGCACAAAAAAGGGATCGGCCTTTTCCGCCCCGCCCCCCGCAGAGAACACCAGGCACGCCAAAGCAATCTATCATTGAGCGGACTCTCGGGCGCCAACCTTTTGTATACTTCTGTTTCCCAAGCCAGACCAGAAACAACCCCTGTGAGAGGTTAGCCTGGAGACGCCTGCAGAGAGGACGGCAACAGACATTGTCGCAAAGACCGCACCACTGGTCACACAACGAAGACGGCGAGCAACAATCAGATCTCCTCTGGCCAGCAGGCAACATAACTAGATAAAGCCCGACGTGCTTAATCACGCAGAGATTGCCTATATGCTTTCACGATTGGATTGCGCATGCTCTGGGGCAGGGCCCAGCTATATGAATACAGAATCTCCAGGGCGCGCCCTTACTCTCCAGCACCTGATGAGGACGCTGGGAGAAGCTGCGCGTCCCTCGGCCACTACAGCGGGCATGCTGCGAGAGGCTGATATTGCAATGGCAATATCAAAACCTGGTTCGTTTCGCAAAAAACTTAATGAAACAAGGCGCAGACAACTACATCAATGTCACAAGCGTTCCCAAAATGAGCAAGGGCCATGGCCCTTGGGAGTTTCCAGAGCCACGAGGTGGCAGGGTTTCCAAGGACCACGGGAAGCCGCAGGGCCCGACAAAACGTGAGAAGGCCGAAATGGGATAGACGATAGACTGGCGCCAATGGTGCACTACAGTTGGGGAGACCCAGAGGATTCCCAGCATTACGAAGGGGTGAAGGTTCTCCAGATCTAATTCGAGCTCTCGAGAGCAGTTGGCAGTGCGTGACTATCCACACGGAGGCAGTCAATTTTCCATGAGCCCAATCCAATTTCGGAACAATTGCAGAGCGCGTCGGTTAAGGACATCGCAGGAAACGTCGCGCATTGTGTCTAGCGCGAAAACGGTCGTAGATCCTGCGAATCGGAGGCGCCAGGCCCGAGACAAGATCCCAATGCCGCTGAGCACCCCAAGCGCCACTGGATGACCGCTGGCCGCGACGAAGGCGGCCGGGTCGCGCCGAGGACGTTTCCAGCGGTGGCCAGCGCAAGGCGGCCCAGTCCTGCGCGTTGGCCGACAGCGAATTCAGCTGCTCCTGGACCCGCCCGCCTCTGGCGCACTGCGGATCCGCCTGGTTGGCGGCGCGCCTGCCCCCCATCATCGCCGACGCAGCCCGCAGCTGGCGGCCGACGCCGCCGCGGCGCACCTGGCAGAGGGCGGCGGGCAGTAGCTTCTGCAGACCCGCCGCCTGGGCGACCGCCTGGAACGCGGCGCTTCGCCCGCGGGGCCGTCGATCAGCAGCGACGTCGTGGCGCGCGCCCGTCTCGCTGGATGCCCCCGCCGCCTGCGGGCGCAGAGTCATGCTCAATTCACCATGGGGCCCGAGGCCCGCCGCGCAGGATCGGCGGTCGACGCGGCCATTGGCGGTCAGCGGGTGCCCTTCGCACGGGCGCGAGCACAGCGCGGGCGCGACGGCTGTCGAGGCGGCCGCCCAGCGCTTTCCGGCGATCGCCAGCGCCCGGACGGCCAGACGACGACGCGCCGCCAAGGGGAGCGGCAATCTCGATCGCGGCGGCGCGAGTCGCCCCCAACCCTCGGCGGAAACGCGGCGCGGGCAAGGCCGGCGCGCTTGGCGCCCGCGTCGGAACTGGCGAGGGCCATCGCCGCGAGTAGCTCCCGCGCGTCTGCGCCCTCGCCGCCCCCCGGGCGCTGTTCGAGGAAATGGGCAGCCAGGGCGGCGCCCAGCGTGGCGGCGGGGACCGTGGCCAGACCCGCTCGCCGAGCCCAGGTCACGAATTCCCCCGCGCGGCGACGGCGGCCCCTCTGCGTGGGCGCGGGCGCCGGCTGTTTCTCGAGGGCGGTCTCCGTCTGGTCGACGGTAAAGACGATCTCGCGGCCCGTCTTGTCGCGCCCCACTAGCCGTCGCTCTGCTCGTCGATCGCTCTCCGGGCGGTCGCGCGCTGGCCCGGCGTCGTGGGCGCCCGGCAAGCGAAGGCGCTGAATCCGAAATCAATTGCGGCATCGCGCGTTTCCATTGGGTTGGGGGGCGAGCAACCGCGGAGGGGCAGACGCGATAGAAGGCATTATGCATGTCCCCGTCCGCGACAGCAATCGGGGCGCCCCCATCCACAGTGGCATGGCCGATGGCCGAGCCCGAGGCGAGCTTCACCTTGTCGCATGTGCCAAAACGCAGAGACGAGCAGGGTGGATTAGATCGCGCGTTCTCTTGCGAAATAACATAAGCCCCACAGCGCGCTCGCAGGCCGGAAAACAAAACCTGACCAAGTTGGCGCCCGCCAGCCGCTGCAGCAACTATCCGCGCAGATTGGGGCCGCGCAGGTTTGGGTCGACGCGCAGGCGACGCGGCCCTTCAATTCTTGCGCGTCTCACCCCCTGCTTTCGGGGAAAATGCCAAATCGCGGAGACGGTCGCCGATCCCTCGGCCCACGTCTCCAGCGAGCGCCTCTGACGACGTCGGGGAACTCGATGCGGCAGGCAGGGGGGCGCGGCCAACGCGTTCGAAGCCGACCAGAACATGCGACGCGGATACCTCATGATGCACCGGCGTTGCCCGGGGCGCGTCGAAGGCCCCGAACCGCCGAGGTCAGTCGGAAGCTCGCCGAAGGCTTTCGCCGTGGATTCGAGCTCCCAATAGAACTCCGCCGCAGAGCGCCAGCGGGCCCTTTTCCTACTGAAGTGCATGTCATTGAGCGCCACGCCAGTAAGCGCATCGTCGGCGCCATGTCGGTGTCGGCGGCGAAGAGGCCCCCGCTCGGCAGCCCTGGCAAGGGTCGACGGACTCTACTGAGGTCCAAGGCGAGATGCCCTCGCGCGCGCTTCGAACGCCAGCGGGGAGGTCTGGCGTTGCCCCCTGACTGTTCCCGAGCAGGCTGGGGGACATGCTTCCGGGGCGCGTGCTCATTGTCCGGAGAGGGCGCGACGTTCCCCCTTGGCCTTCACCAAAGAGCCATGACGATGACCGCGCCCCTTTCTACCATCGCTGACACATGCTGGAAGAGGGCCGGGCACACCACCACCCCTTCCCGCCGCGCCGGCGAAGACCGAGGCCTCGTCCAGACAAAAACGAAGCGCGCCAGACCACTGCCGCGGCCTCCACGACCTTTTGACATCTTGACGCCGTCCGCGTCGCCTTGGCTCTGGCCACCGTGGTCTGCGCTCGAGCCCTCTGCCTCCATGGCGTAAAAGTGATCGTGCCGTTGGACCTGCCGAAGCGCCACCTCCTCCCCGACGAGGTCCGGGAAATTCTCGAGGTCCCAGCAGGCCGAGAACTCCACCATCCTCCATGGTGCTCTCGTGGTGCGTCACGCCGTCGTCGTCGTCGACCGTCAAGTGGTAGAAACTCGCGGCCCGCGTCGGCGGCGGCGAATGAACGCGCAACACCAGCCCGCCGTCCGTGGGACTCCAAGCGGCCAGTCGACTAGCTGTGTCTTGGGGGGGCGGGCGACGGCATCTCTGAACTGGAATCGCTCGCGGTGCCCGCCTGCCTGCAAAGGTACATCCGACAATCGCGAGCCCAGGGCGGACTCCACAACTCGCTGAATTACACGGCCACATTGATGGACATCTTGCGGACGCAGGTCCACCCCGCATGCACCTTCATCACGGCCACGTCACCTCCAAACTTCTCCGTCCCGTTCAACTGCACCACCGTGCCGCGCTCGCCCGCCGAGGTGGACTCCATCAACACCCACTTTGGGAGCCGCAACGGGCGCGAACAACACTGGCGCGCCAGCAACACCAGGCGCCCTAGCGGCAGCCCCAGCGCTCGCAGCAGAACCGGCTGGGGCGGCCGTGGGGGACGCTGCGCCCGCGGGCGCGCCCAGGCCAGGCCCCCGTGCTGGCGCGATGCCCGCCAGCGCCGGCGGCGCCTCCGGCCACGGCCGCGGGGGCGGCGCCGAGCGTGAAGTCGAAGGGGCCCACATCCACCAGCGGGTAGCGCTGCCGACCGACCTGCGCCCCACACTCGGGATAGGCAAGACTCGTCGGCCACCTGAACCAAGATCTGTTGAATGGCATTCACCTCCGCTACCGTTAGCTCTCTCCGAAAACGATCGACACGATTGGAGTCTAGCCCCGCAGGGTCATGGCGAGACGGGACGTAGCGACCAGCGAACAGCCAGGGCGTCGGCACTTGACGTTTGGTAGCCTTCCTAATACACGTTGTGATCGAGCGATGATCATGCAGTGGCAGGCATCCGTCGGAGCCGTCGGAGGAGGTGTCATCGTCACCCAGATCCTGCGCTGGTGCCACCGCTGCTCGCTGACGTATGGCACCCACGCCCACTTTTTGACTTGCTCGTGCTGGGCGACCATTTGGGATGGCTGGGGCCGTCGTCACCCGACGCGAGCATCTCCCGCACAGCCTCCAAGCTTCCACGCGAGCGAGCACGCACGACACCTGGATCACCACGATCACGCAGTGCAGGCGGGGAACGACCAGCTCCAGCAGCCCCGAAAGCCAGCTCGAAAACCCCACTGGTGCAGATGCTTCTGGGACCTCCCGCTCTGGTTTTGGTGTCGCCTCACGGACAGGAGTTCCTGCTTTGCGGGGCGGCAGCCTCGACGAGCTCCGCCGGCCTCGCCGCTGGCCTGCATTAAGGTTACAAGGGGCACTGTAGCGACGGGCACTCTGGGCAGACCACGCCTGCCAGGCACCCAGGACAGATCAGCCACGGCTGGGCCTGGGTGGGTTCGCCATCTGTGCGCCACTGCGGAAACCTCGCACGCCGAGCACCCCGAGCTTGAGCACAGATAACAGCAAATAGTTGTGTGTCTGCATCTGATATTTGTCGCCCAAACCCTCGCAGAGAAAACCAGGCACCCCAGAACTATATATATATATATACACATGCAAACATACATACATACACATAAATACATACAACCATGCATATCCATATTGTGTGCTATAAGAAGACGGGAGATGACACAACTGCACATATGTCGCATCTGCCCTTCATCTATGAAGAGCGAGACAGAGAGAGAGAGAGAGAAGGAGAGGAAGGGAGAGAGGGAGGAAAGGAGAGGGAGAGAGCACGGTTCAGCCTGCAATCTCCTTGAGCCAGCAGCCGACACCACCGTCACAGGTTACATGCATGCGCTTGCGCCTAGGAAAAGCCAACCCGCGCCGCGCCCGCGCAGTCCGAGGCGCGGGACCTCCACCTTCACGCCGCGACCGTCGCAGGAGCGGCACTCGGTGACCCCCTGCGGCGGCAGAGCTCGGAGAGGGGGGCATGGGGACTTTCAAGGCTTCGGGCTGCGCGCAGGCATCGAGGGAGGAAAACCCACCCCGACCCTCAGAAGTGGCGTTTCGTGAACAATCCGGAGCTTTTATCGAAGGTCACTGTCCCGTTCGATTCCTTCCTCACGTGCGCTTAGTGGACGCCTTGGCTTGTCAGGGTGTTGATTATGACGATTTATACTCTGTCCTCCAAGACAGCACCCACAGGTAGGTCCAGACTGGCCTCAAAAAGCTCCCAAAACAATCCAGGCTGGTCTCAACACCCCAACCCTGGGGCGCGGAGCGCCCCAAGGGCGCCGCCGGAGGCGGCGCGAGAACGCCTTGCGCTACTCGGGGGGCCTGTTGAAGCCAGCTTGGACCTCCCTGGGGGGCTGCTTTAGAAGGCAAAAAAACAGCACCCCGACGAGCCAAGGCATTCAATAAACGGCCATGGGGAAGGCGGCAGAGCGCTTTTTAGTAAAGGCCCAGGACCGTTCAGGAAACGCCAATCATAAGGTTCGGGGTGGTTGATCCTCCCTCGACGCCTGTGCGCAGCACGAAACCATACCAACGGGGAGCGGAAGCGAGCGGCTGCGGCGAGCCGGGTTTCGACCGGCTTCTCTCGGTCACGCCGCAGGGCGCGGCCGCAAGGCCGTCCCTGGCGTCCGTCTAGTCGTCGTCGCCGCCGCCGCCGTCGTCGACCCAGTGGAGAACCAGCCTCGGGAACGCGGGCTGGTCGCGCGCACGCGGAAATAACCGCTTGACGTCGGCGGCTGTCGTCGGGTCTGGTAGAGTGGGTTTCACAAATCAAATAGTGCGGCCGAGTTCTCAGGCACCTTCCGGCACAACGAGGCGCCAGTGTCAAGAGAACGTGACACTGGCTGCATGCAGTAGCTTTCGCAAACCCCGTTTCTCGTCCGTCCCAAGCTCGGGTGGGAAGGGAACACAAGAGCTCCCGAACTCTCCAAGTTCTGGCTGCACTCTTGCTCGCGCACTGCCTTGCGGTTCTGGCGTGCGAAGATGGTACAAGAGCCCCCCGTCGAGCACCAATGGAACCTGAGCTGGAGGGATCCAGGTGCAAGCCAGAGCTAGTTGGCCGATCTGATGAGAACGAACTGCATGATATCTGACCAAAACGCAACGCGCCTGTGGGGAAACCGAACAGTACAGATGTCGCCACTCCCTGGACCTCTCCCAGGGTGCGCTCTGACCAGAACTTCGAGGCGAAATCAGCGGTGGCGAAGGGGGCCACCCATGAGCTCACAAGGGGCAACACGAGGGAAGAGTAGCTGTATATCGACACCTGTTCCTCCTCTGAGAAACGCAGCGCGCTTGCCCCCCAAGCGCCGACCGCAACACCCCCAGCGCTGCGCGGGAAAAACTGGCGGGATGCTTCGCAGAGCGTCCGTGTGCTCTGCCACGCGGCAGCCCCCCCGCGGCGCGAGCTCGGCGGCGCTGTTTTTGCTGGGGCTTGGACGCGATATCCAACTCCCGCCAAATTAGATCGGCAAGCGCGCCGGGGAGGGGGGTCCCACCACGATCCAACAAGAAATTCGCACGGACCTCCAGATGTTCAGGTTCATGCCATCGTCAGTACAGCCCGAACTCTTACAGTCTTTACGCGGGCGACGGCCCAACGAGTTGCAGAGGCAATCAGAGACGATGCACATACTGCCCTCTGTAACGCGACGGATCAATGCGCAAAGCCGGCGCTGTTACCCGTCGCCCTTCGGCGGCCTGTGGCCTTCAGCGGCCCTCGGCGGTATGCGGGCGCTCTCCCCTCGGTACTCTCGGCTGCCCCTGGTGCGCAAGCCGGGTGGTGGCATCTGACTAGGTCTCTGAAAATCTGAGGTTGCGATACACCTGCGACATTGGGATAAATCGCGCCACGAGCCCTGGATCCCATCTTCCTGCGCTATTTCGCGACCCGGATCGATCTGTGATGGTCCCGAGGCCCAAGGCCAAGCGAAGACGGCCGACTCGAAAAAAAATTGACGCTAGGATCTCAGGAGCGGGTCCTGGACCGCAGGCAAGGGGGACGCGCGGCGTGAGGTGCGCGCGCGCGTGCCGAAGCGCGCCCCCTGCGGGCTTCCCAGAGCGCTGACTCATCCGCAAGCGCCAGCACACTCTCACCCGCGCTGACTGCGCGCATTGGAGTGCCACTGGCATCGCGCAAGCCGCGCAGCCTCGGACCACCTCCTTTCCTAGGGGTCCTCAGAAGCTCTCGATCCAAGCTCTTAGGGGGCGCAGAGGCACCGATGCAGATACTGTCTGGGCCTCTCCAGGGATGCGCTCTGACAAGGATTTCAAGTCGAACCCAACCGTGGAGACGAGGACTTTCTAGGACGAGCAGTGGCATCGGCACCTTTCCATCCTCTGATCGGCGGCGAGCGAGGGGGGGAAGTCATGAGGTGGAGGCCTTATCAAAAGGCGGTGGGGCTTCTCGGAAGCCCTCAGGCCTTCTGAGAAGCTTTCTGTGTTTTCGGGGAAGGCTTAGAAAACTTCTGCGGGCCCAGAGGACTTTCGATCCTTTCCTGTTTCTCCTCCTCGCGCTCCTGCTGCTCCTCCTTCGTCCATCTCGGCATCATTTTCTGCATCATCTCTATCACAACTCTACCAAACTTGGGGACAAGAAAGGTCACCTGTGAAAACCTCCCGTGCTCTCTCGAGGAACCGCTACTCAGAATACGGGCTGGCACCGTGCTGGGACTAGCCGCAGGCAGCTCGATATTGTTCTGGACTTCAGCGGCGCAGAAGCATACCTTGCGAACAAGGTCGCAACGACCTTACGGGGAGACTGACGCGAGCAGCCAGCCCGGCACACCGCGCGGAAAAGAAGGCGCTCACGCGTGACCTTACGCGGACAGCTTTCGCACCACTGTCCGCGTGGTCGACCACGGTTTTCTACGTCGTCCAATTGCTGCCCTGTCTGCTAATGAACTGTCTGGTCTATGGGCTTCACCCAGTGGGCTGGTAAGACCTATTTCACAGATTCTGAGCGTGGGGCTATAACTCTTACTGGAACGCCTCCGCTTCGTCACTCACTACACTCAGGTCGCTGACACTCAAGTGCACTCTCACTTAGACTCGCTCGCACTCAAATCTACTAATACTCAGACTCTGTCCCCCTCTCAAATTCAGGTACACTCAAACTCAGACTTGCTCATAGTCAGACTCCTTCGTCCACAGACTGCTCCCACTCACACCCAGTCAAGTCGTGCTCAGACTCACACACATATGTCATGCACTGCATACACTCACGGCATGACCACCCCAACGTAGCAGGCGTGGCAGTTGGGCACCCCAAGGGGGGAGCCGCCAGGGGGCGTGACACTCGCCACTTCGCGCCCATAATGTGTGGATGTCTCAGGCGGTTGGCTCGTTTTGCCCATCCGACTCCTCTCGCTTGAGAGCCCCATGATCACATCGATAATGCACGCGTGGCACGTGGGCACACCAAGGGGGCCGCAAGGGGGCGTGACACTCGGCAATTCGCGCCACGACCCCCAAGCTTGGTTTTCTTTTTCTTTTTTTTCAAAGCCCCATGACCACCGCGACATAGCAGGCGTGGCACTCGGGTACCCCAAGGGAAGTGCCGCCAGCGGGAGTGCTCAGATTGTGGAGATACCTCAAGCGGTTTGCTAGTTCTGCCCCCCCCCCCCCCGCATGCCCCTCTCTTTTGAAAGCCCCGTGGCCACCGATGCCTAGCAGCGCAAACTTTGGGCATCCGAGAGGGGGAGCCGCCAATGGGCTTGACACTCGCCCGTTCGCGCTCAGATTGTGGGGGATGTCTCGGGCGGGTGGCTCGTTTGGTCCCACGGAACAATCTCTTCTGGGAGCCCCGTGATCACCGCGACCTGGCAGGCGTGGCACTTGGGCACCCCAAGGGGGGAGCCGCCAGGGGGGCGTGACGTTCGCCGGGTTGCGCTCAGATTGCAAGGGATGTCTCGGGCGGTTTGCCCGTTTTGTCCCCCGGACTCGTACCCTACGGGGGCCCCATGATCACCGAAAGGGCCTAGCAGGCATGACATTTGGGCACCCAAGGGGGGGGAGCCGCGTGACAGCCGCCCGTTCGCGGGCAGATTGTGTGGATATCTCCGGCGGTTTGCCCGTTTTGTCTCCCGACTTCCCCCTTCGGGAGCCCTATGGACACCACGACATAGCAGGCGTGCACTTAGGAGCCCCAAGAGGGAGCCGCCAGGGAGGGGGGCACTGCCATGGCGTATGAAGGTATGGCACTGGCTTGCTCGCGCCCAGGTTGCTGGGATATCTCAGGCGGGTTGTCTACATTTGCCCCGCCAAGGCTTCCCGCTATTGAAGTCCCCATGATCATCGTGACGTAGCAGGCATGTCACACAAGGGGTGTTACATTTGCCAGTTCGCGCCCAGACCAGGGGACCTCTCAGGCGAAATCCTTGATTGGAAACCGCCGACGCCTCTCCTTTGAGGCATCGCATTTGAGCAATCCGGGGGAAGTCGCCAGAGAACGATCAGTCGCCACAGGCTAAAATTTTCTCACTCTGACACTCTCAGATGGGAGGGCCAAGAACTCAGATACACACTTGGGGACCTCTGCGTCGAACCATTATCCCTCCTCCCTGGCCCCTGTCCTTCTTCTTGTCGATCACTTGTCTCGTGATGGCCATCTTCTTGGTGGCTCCCTGGTGCGGCGCCGTTAATATCTGCATTCGTCTGCTGGCATCCCCCTCCCACGTCCAGGGATGGAGGGAAGAGAGAGAGAGAAGCGAGGGGGTGGGTAAGGAGGATGAGGCGGCGGAGGTGGAGGCGGAAGAGTACAAAGGGGGAGGAAGCAGGGAAGAATGATGGGGGAGAAGGGGCGGTGGGTTATGAGCTCAGCAGGAGGGGCTGGAGGAAGAGACATAAGGATAGGAGGAAACAGGAGAAGGGGAAGACTGAGCGAAGGGGAGGGGGATGAGAAGGATACGGGTTGGGCAGATGTTTTTTCCGCGCGCCATGTAGAGCTGCTCCAAGGTGACCTTCAGAGGCTGCACCACGTCCTTCGTCTTCTGGCGCCTCCTGCGCGATTTGAACAGACAGGACGCGCAACAAGAGGTACCCTAGTGAGTCACATGCTTCAGGACGCGCTCTGAGAAAATGACGCCCTCCTGCTTTGGATCCGGTCGAATCCGCAATTCGAAGTTTAGAACGCCGTGTGGGCTGCATAACCGATTTCCTAACACTGGAATGTGACAAGTTCGAACAAAGCTTGGCAATCATACCTGGGCGCCCACACAAGGGGGCGGGCCCAAAACACAATCCAAATAGCATATAGCAAGATCGGACTTCACGCTGAGAACCAACGGCTGGGACAGCAGGCGCCGACACGACAACATAGCCCAGACAACGCTTCTCCATGAAACGAGTGGAACGCATTTGGCAATCCTGGCTTGGGAATTAATTGGCGGCAACACTCTACGCGATAAGTCGAGCTCCTTGACATGCATGCGAGACGAGGGCATATCCATAACCACCGCATGGGGGGATCGAGCTTTGGGTGCCTCGGTGGGCGGTGGATGTGGATACATAGGTGGCCCCCACGGGGCCCGAATATACTCCTATCCGCCGCCAGCCGAGGCCCCCAGAGCTTGATCCCTCCGGCGGTCATTGGGCATAACTCCCCGCCTCGGAATGCAGCAAGCACAGACATGCCGCCCTCAAACAACCCGAATACCCAGAATGGATGACCAAGGAGGTCCACGAATATCCAGCCTGTCAGCAGGTGCCCCACAGAAACTTTTTATCCTCCGACGGCCCCATGTCTGCAAATGTAAAATTCGGAGAACAAACAACGGCAAAACATAGCAACTCGAAGGTCCGCGCAGATTCCTCGGATCGGCACTGGACCCCCCTCCGTGGCGTGCGGAGCGTGTCATCGTTTGTTTCCCTAGCCTTGGGGCCCACAACGATCGACAAATAATATGCCCCAAGACGTCTTACAACAAGGTTTTTTTCGTCTGTGTCTACTGCACGGCCTGTCCCTGCCTTGCAGACGCGGGTCCCAGTTCCTGACACCGCGTGAAACGTTCCAATTTTGACTGCTGGCCCTGTCTCTCGTATGTCTAGGAGGCAGCTCCTGGGAGGCCTTCGTCAGGAAGATGAGAAACTTTTCGGCCCGAATGAATGGCAACAGAGCCAGATAAGGCAGGATTGGGCCCAATATTAGGCCGTAGTAAGCGGGAGCGAGCAGGATTGATCAAGCGGGATTCGACCAGATTGGGCAAGTTTTCGACCATGCCAGCGCCGATTCAGAACCCGCTGACCCTGTCAGCATGTGGAAGGCGCTCTTCCGCTCGTCGTAGTCGTCACTTCGTCGCCGCCGCCGCCGCCGCCGCCGCCGCCGCCGCCGCCACCGCCGCCGTCGTCGTCGTCGTCGTCGTCGTCGTCGTCGTCGTCGTCGTCGTCGTCGTCGTCGTCGTCCTCGTCGTCCTCGTCGTCCTCGTCGTAGCCGTCGCCGTCGCCGTCGCCGTCGCCGCTCCCCCTCTTTGCGTGGGCCCTCCTCCTCAAGTGCGCCAGCCAATGCGAAATTGAGCGACGCCGTAGTTGAGTCGAAAGGAAGCCCCTTCCCTGTAATCCCTTCCCAGGGGGGGAGGAGGTCCTGGGGGGGGTGCTGAGAGGGGGTCCCAGGAGGAGGGTCCCGGGTCAGAATGCCACCCCCACCCCCGGGGGGGTCCTGGGGCCGCAAAAGCCCCAAGACGGACCAAGAGTGCCCCTAGATGCCTCCAAGACGGTCCAAGAGGGTGGCGAATCGCCGAATTACCCGTCCCAGACGCCACGGATGGCCTCCAGACGGTCCAACAACACTTCCAAGACGCTCCAACCAAGAGCACTCCGAAGAGGGTCCCAAGAGGTGAAAACCATAGAGGTTCCTTATGTTTTGCAGGATGTTGTTCTCGCCTTCTCGGCTTCCCGACGCTCCAGGACGGCCCAAAGGGCCTCCAAGATCGCCCTAAGATCGCCCCTAGATAGCCCCAGGCGTCTCCAAGAGGGCCTCGAATCGACCGAAGAGGGCGCCCTGACCCCTCAAGGACTGGTCGCCAACGGTGTAGCTGATCATGTTGCGGGGGAAGCTGCCCACTGGGGGGGGGCCCTGCCTGCGGAGTGCGTCTCGCCTGGGCACCGCGCACATTCGTTTGAAAGCTTGCAGGGGGGTTCACCGATTGAGGGCGGCTCCTTGTAAAAACGTGGCGCTCGCCCTGGCGCCGCGAACATTCGTTTTCAAATCGTTGCAAGAGTCTCACTGGTTCCCATGGTTAACGTGCAAGGAACGGCGTGTTGGAACGATTCAGACTTGTCACGGCGCAACACTTCGGTTAAGTCGCGGTGTTGAAATTTCAGGAATGGCGCTCTGGCGCCATTCAGGATCGTCACGACTCAACAACCAAGTTGGCTCGAGGTACAGTCCTGAGTATGGTGTTCTGGCCCGCTTCAGTGCTTTCACACGACTGCCGCCAACAAGGAAATTCCCTCAGTGGAGATAAATCATTGTAGGGACCTGTGAAACGGGAGCTTGGAGGGAGAGTGCATTCCAACATTGGTGAGTCTTGGGTTTACACTGGTCGTCCTCTTCCTCCTCAGCATCACCATCCTCATCCTCTCTTTCGTTCTCTGTCCTCCTCCGTCCCCTCCTCTCTCATGTTTCCCCACGGACGTCCTCTCCTTGTTTCTCCCTCCCTTCTACTCTCGAAGTATTCCTCCTTCCCCCCCCCCCTGTCTCATATGTCGTCCTGTCTCGTCCTTTCTTTTTCTGGGGCGGGAAGGGGAAGGAAGAGATGAGCAGGACAGGAACGGGCAGGAGGAGGATGAAGGAACCTGCGCAGGAGAGACAGAAAGAGCAGGAGGAGGACCTGGATGAGCGGGACAGCGATGAGAAGGGAAGGAACATGAGTGGACCAGGAGGAGGAGGAGGAGTTCTTGAAAGAGGAGGGGCAGCAGGAGGCGGAACGCGACCCTGGAAGGGAGGAGGGGTCAGAAGCATCAGTAGGTTTCCAGCAGTATGTTTCCAGGACGAGCAGTAGCACTAGGAGCACGAGGAGCACGAAGAAGTGAGAGGGGCAGCCAGCCCGAAATGCATCGTAGACCCAGTGTCTACTAAAGGGACGGGTGGGGAAGTAAGGCTTTTCAAAAGGCGCCGGAGCAGACTGGGCAATGGACCAGCCCTCCCACAACGAAACAGGCAAGTATCGGCAACCGAGCATGAGCAAAACTAGCTTGCCCTCCTCCTACTGCGATAACGGAAAATTGAAAATCGTCGGCCCGCCCGGGGACGCGCGACTGTTAAGTCCTGGTTGTAGTGCTGTCTGGCTAGTGGTACTGTCTCTTGCTTCCAGTCACCTGTCTCTTCAAGCATGTTTCCTATCTGTTCTCCTCTACGATGGCCCGCGCCGCCCCAAAAACATAATATGGCTTGCGTGTGCGCGTATCTGTTGCCTCTTCGAAGGTTCCACTGCCTCTGCCACGTATTTGCGCTCGTGGCCGCGACGCCGAACAGTGCGCGTGCGTGTACCTCAACATCGCCGCCACTCTGAATTGCCCCCGGATTTCCGTAGAGACGCCACCGGCTGGCCAAGAGGACCGAAGAGGTCTCCAGATCCATGGCTCGGCTGGGAGAGTAATGATTGTGTGGCGCTGGTGACGAGAGCGACGACAGCGAAAGTGACGATGATGATGACGGCGGTGGTGATGATGACGATGGTAATGGTAATGGTGATGATGGCAATGGTGAAGATGATAACGGTGGCAATGCTGACGCTGGCGATGATGCTGGAAATTGTGCTGATGCGAGGGAGCACGCGCGCCGAAACTCTGCACGATTTCTTATCAGGGGACGAACTGTGATTTTGATTGCATCCATGGTTCAATGCCAGATACACGCACTGGTGGCACGCATTGTATCTTTGTGCAGAATTGACGGTGCGCGGTGCTGGTTGAATGTTTTCCACATGCGCGCGCGTCTGGCCCCACATGGTTTCATTGGGCAGAGCGGCAAATAACCGATGCTTTCTTGTGGTTTTGCAAACAAGAACATGGCATTTCTCATCGAGCAGTCATGAGTGCATGAGAACCTTCACTTGAAATTCGTGCTAAAACAATGGAACCAACGACGAAGCGGCGACGCACGGCGACTGGGCGATTATATGGAAACCAGAATGATTACGCGACGCAACGACGAGGCACGGTAATCGAAAGACAAGCACGGAAAACCCAATCAACACACGAGGTGCGACGTCAACGACCGGGCGAAACAATGGAAAACCCAGCCACCACACGAGCCGGCGACAAGGCGGCAACGGGCGGCGGCCGGGCGAAAGCCCAGAAACCCAGCCAATTACTTCGAAGGCAAGACCCCCTTAGTGCAAGCAAGCACTGTTTGGGGAACCACGGCTACAAGAAAGCTCTCCAGGGTGGCCCATATGTATGATCAAGACGGCTTCGCATGGGGTGCAGGTGGCAGAGGGCACAGCCCATCAGTGCAGAGCCCTTATGCGAAGTCTGAAAGCGAGTCGTGCCCGAGCAGGGCGTCGAATTCAGGAAACTCTTCTGCTTCCGCTGAAGGTGCGGATGGTCACCGATAGCCCCTCCTGAGATATCGAAGCATCATGCGACCACGCCCTGCTTCTTCCGGTCCTCCTTGTCTAACTCTAGGGCCTCGAAGATGCTTGCGTCGATGCCACCGGCCATAACGTTCATCGGGAGCACAGAGAAAGGCTCCTCGATCTGAACGCCAAGCTCTTCGATGCCGAATATTGCGAAAGCCAGGAACGCGGTGATGGGCACGATCGCAAAATGGGTGCCGATTGCGCCGTAGAGCGCCAACGGCATGAAGAGCAGCCAAACACTGAGAAACCTGGATGTCAAGCGGGTGTACGACAGCGGCATGGGCGTCTTGAATATCCTCTCGCACATGCCGTAGTAGTCCGAGAACTTTGTGACGTCGGCGTCGATCTTCATCTCGTCGATTACGTCCAACTTCGCCTTGCGAATGGCCTGCGAGAGCATACCCGTGACGGTCATAGGCTTGTGTGTGCAGGCCAGGAGCTTCGCCTTCTCGTCCTCCGTCAGGATCTTACCCAACTTTTTCTCGATGACTAAGTTGGACACGTCGGTACGCTCGCCCAGGTGATAGATCAGGCACCGAGGGTACGCGGACACCAAGCGCGTCACCTCCGCCTTCAACTCCAAGTCCGCGGGGTCAAAACGCGTGATCGCCTGGCGGACGATGTCACGGCATGTGTTGATGATGGCGCCCCAAATGCAACGCGCTTCCCACCTCAAGAATGGCAAACATGTCCATATCCGCGCCCTCGCTGTCTGGATTCCGGGGCGAGATCCGCATATACGCGGTCGCAAGGATACGTTCCGCGCGGGGCATCCGCGAAAACACGTCGCGCATCCGCGGCCGCCGCCCAGGGGCCTCGCCCGCGAGGCCGCAGGTACGGATATGTTTTGTCAACGGCAACCAGCGGGAGTATGCGGAATTGGTCCGGAAGACGAGCAACAGCGAGAGGAACGTCCCGCTGACTGTGAAAGGCAGAGCTGGCAGGCTGAGGACCACGCGGTCCTTGGGCAGGATGGAGCCCAACTCTCCTGGGGCGTCGTTCCAGAGGACCACGGCCAGCGCGATGAGTGTGCATGCCGCGACCTCCTGCCAATTCGCGCGGATGGTCTGGGAGTTGAACAAGTTGCCGAGGTTCCTGAAAAGCAGAAAAAGAAGGCACTCTCACAGAGGACATGAGCACCCGATCAAACCAATGTTCTTGCATCTGATCGGCGATGTCCTCCTCCTTCTCCTCCTCCTCCTCCTCATCCGCCATCTTCGCACCACGCACAGAAAATGGATGTGCGTGTCTTTCTGGATTGGTCCCCTGATGTCCGTGTAAAACGGTCGGAATTGCGGTGCCTCTTCCACTCGGGGTACCCGAACACCGGGCGCTTGGAAGTCCTGTCCATCTCGATATACCTTCCCTCCACTCTGCTGTAAAACTGGCTCAAAACTGATCCCCAGGCCCTTGGAAGGACTCGATGTACCTACCACGTCGTTTGGTCGGCCAAAGAACTCGGAGTATGGACCCCCCAACCGTCGGAAACTGTGGGACGCTGGAGCGTATATAAATACACCACAATAATTCGCCGAACTCCCAAGCTCCGTGGCAGACCAAACGACGGGGTGTCTGCATCGAAACCCTCCGACGCCCTTCCTGGGCACCGTCCTGACTCGTTGCCCATGCCGCGCCCAAGACGGTGCGACGAAGACGGCCCCCTCCGACGGCCCCCAGCGTACCACACAGAGAGGACCACAACCCAGACATCCGATGTCCTGATTATTTCAATACGGGGCCCCCAAGGGCGGGGCATCTCATCGCGAGTCCTTTTATGGCGGTCCCCAGGGCCCAGCGAAAGGCCCCTGAGGCCGACAACGGTCGAAAACCTTCAACTGATAGGTTGTCACGACGCGGGCATGTCTGGGGCGGCACTTGTCCGTGTCCGCCATGACGTCGAAGATGTTCGTATCCTTTGGTTGCGTGATAATCCACCCCTAACCAAAACTCACTGTCGCAAGTGTTAATACTGAATCACGAATCACGTCTACATCACAGAGCGGGAAGGGGAATACCCGAGATCGCCGCGGCGACCTCCAAAATCGATCTGGGGATTTGGTTTGGGTTCCCAGTTGATTATTTGAAGACCCTGGGAGGCCAAATTAGGACGGCGTTCGTAAGGTGGGTGAGTGGGGTCGTTGGGCGTTCGTAAATAATGCACTTTGCCGTTCTACATTTTCATGCGTCTGAGCATGCCTAGACGGGCTTAAGTAGTCGTTCAGGCTATGATCGTTTGGGTGTGGAGATTTCTGGGCCTTTCTGAGCGAGAGTTGAATGGTGGTGCATTTTTGGGGGAAGCAAGCTCTATGCACCGACGCTTGTTCCGACCCCGCGCTGAAATTTACACAGGAACGCGGATCCTGGTGTATACGGAATCCTGGTGTATGCAAGTTTCGTTGTTTCCCTTGGAAAACTGGGGAGAAATATGCACCACACCACCCCGACGCCGTCCACGACCCTCAAAAAGTCGTGGGATTGGAACATTACCCGCCACTGGTACTGTATATGTTCCAGTTTCCGCTTTTCCGACAAACCAGAAAAACACAAAATTTGGCTCGGAGTCGGATATGGAGCTTCCGGGTAGCGAGTCGCCGCTGCGGCCCCGACGGCACGCTATCCCCTGCGAGCGGGTCGCGTGCCGCTCCGCTCCGAGAGCCAGGGAGGCTGCGGAAAGATGGAGGCATTGACGCCTCGGAGCCGCGACGTGGATAGCGTGTCCCACCGCAGCATGGTGGGCAAGAACCGGCACGACACGCTACACGCGGATAGGCAGAAAGAGATAAACACATGAGGTAAGAGGGCAGACAAGGTAGCTCGGGTTCAAAGCGCAGCAGCGCAGATCGCTTCTGGAAGTAGGAAGGCGCTTGAAGCAGATCTATTGGGATGTACATGCTTTCAACGACCGGCGCGTAGCATGTCGCATCGCAGCGCGGTGGGCAAGAACCGGCGGCGAGGCACGCTGCCCAAAAGTCTCTGACCGCGCCACGCAGCGATCCTTCTCCTCGTTGGCGGCCTCCCCGCCCCGAACGCGGCGCCCCACGGCGGAGGAGCCCGCGGCCCGCGCGGACGCCGCGGCCACCGCGGCCACGCCCACGAGCAGCGCCGCGGAGGCCGGGGCCTGGGCTCCGCCCCCCCCGCCCGGCGGGCTCGGACTTGCCCCGGGATGCGACGCCTCGGGGTTTTATTCTTTGGCGCGGGGGGGAGGAGGCCCGTCGGTGGGCAGAGGTGGATGGAAGCATGAAGCAGGAAGGCGTTGGAAGTGGATTGGACTCCCGCCCGCCCCCCGAACAGGAGGGAAGAGGGAAACCACTCGATCGTTGAAGTGAGAAGGCGCCTAAAGTAGATCTGGAGTCGAAAATCCAAGCATAGCTACTTTGAATGACCAGCGTGTGTGGCAGCGGACAAGATGCTTCGATCACGAGCGTCAAAACTCGGATGCCGCCACGCACCGAAGGCCAGGTTCAAAGGACATCCCGACACGGCTGGGGAGGCAGGGAACAAACGAGAATTCGGTTGCCCTTGGACACCGTTCCTCCCCGCCGTGTGGAAGAGAAAACTGCGATTGACGTCACGAAAATATCCGGGCAACGTTGGGGGGAGGATGGCTCGGGGGGGAAACACATCGACCTGGAGTGGGCGATACATCGCTGGCACACCTGCGATAGGCCCCCGACAGCGAAACCGCATGTTCCTGGGAGGGTTGCGACTATCGGCCCCCACATGGGCGGACCATGGGCGATTGAGGGTCGAAGACTGCCTTCCTGAGCAGACTCCCTCCTCACAGTGCCCCGAGATCCGATGCCACGAAAACGAATGTGACATCGTTAGATTCTTTTCCCCGAGCTATGCTTGCGCTGATGGGTTCTTGCCTGGGCCCCTGAAGAATCGGACGGGTCCACCGAGGTTTCGCCACGTCGCCGCCCGTGGCAGCCTCGCTGTCGCCCACCGCACTTGGCGGGTCCGCCGAGGTTTCGCCACGTTGTCGCCTGTGGGCGTTTCGTTGCCGCCCACCGCGCTTGGACCGTCCGCCGAGGCTCTATGTTGCAACCTGTGCTGCAACATGCAGAAGTTGCACCGCGTATCTTGCACACCAGGAAGCAATAACACAATGTTGGGAGCCCACACTGGCAAGCATGTTTTATGTAAGAGCTGCCCACAGACCTAGTTTCTGCGGCATGTGTCGAACCTGATCGCTCTGTGATGGCCCTGGGACCCGAATGGGGCGAGATCGTCCAGCGCGAAAACAACGCGACGCCAATATCTCATTTGGGGAACCCAAGAAGTACCGACTCTGCTACTCCCCGGACCTCTTCTGGGATGCGTTCTCACCTAAATTCCAAATTGAAACATTGCGAAAACGCCCCGTGCGAAACAAAAACGAGGCCAACACGCACACGCACGCATCCAATGGATTGACTTGTGAATCCACGGTCCCCAGATCCTGTTTTCAGGGTCCGCGGGCCCGAAGGTGGCCCCGGGACGCAGCACTCGAGCAACAACGCCAGCATGGAGAAAACTGATTCGCCTAGAAGAGGAAGAGGAGGAGGACGAGGAGGAGGAGGGGGAGGAGGAGGAGGAGGAGGAGGAGGAGGAGGAGGAAGAGGAGGAGGAAGAGGAGGAGGAGGCGGAGGAGGAGGAAGAGGAGGAGGAGGAGGCTGATGATGATGATGATGATGATGATGATGATGATGATGATGATGATGATGATGATGATGATGATGATGATGATGATGATGATGATGATGAGAGGAGGAGGAGGAGAGAGGAGGAGGAGGAGGGAGAGAGAGGAGAGGGGAGGAGGAGAGGGGAGGAGGAGGAGGGAGGAGGAGAGGAGGAGGAGGAGGAGGAGGAGGAGGAGAGGAAGGTCCAGGAGAACACCTCAGGGAGGGCGCCGCGCCACGAGGCGCGTGCCAGGCCGCCAGCCCTCGCGCCTCGCGACGCGTATGCGCTGCCCTCGCGCTCTCGCCAGCCCCCCTTCGGAGAAGGGAGGCCCTCCTTTCGGGCTGGGCGAGAGGATCAGGTCAGGTCAGGTGCGGCGTGCGCAGAGGCGCGCCCTGTGCGGGCTGCCGTTGGCCTCCTCGCCTTCTCACACACGCTTTCTCGCAACCGCCACCTTCTCACACCCTCGCAAATTAGTCAGTCCATCTCTTTTGTGGCCTTCCAACAGATCGAAACTCAGGCGGCGCCCAGCGTAGCGCAACCTGCCCCCACCTGTGGTCACTGCACGACTGTAGCTCCTTTCGGGCTGGGCGAGAGGGGGGGATAGCCAAAGGGGGTTTGAGAATCAGCTCGCGTGGCTGATATTCTCGGCGCCGGGAGGCGCCCCTGTATCGAGGAATGGGCCCGGCGGCAAGGCCGAAACCAGCTGCACGCAGCAGCTTTCGCACCCCCCCCCTTCCCTATCCCCCCTTTGGTCCGGCCCGATCCTTGGAGACGGGCCTGGGGGTCTGGGCCGGAGGGGCCCCTCGAAAATCTGGCAAGACGGGGCGGGCAAGGGCAACCCCGCTCAAAATCGATCCCTGGACCCCTCCCAGGATCCATCTGGTGTAAACGTTCACCGGCCCAGGGACACACACAATTAAATAGACACAAGTAACAGGATTCCCCATATTTTCCAATATGTTCTGGGTTTTTGTCTTCCCCCCCACTTCCAATATTTTCCCACATTTTCTGGGGAATCGACGATGAATTGTGTCTAGGTGTTTTTCCCCTCCTGATCATGACGGTCCCGGAGCCCGAGAAGGGCCCCCGGAGACAGAAAGAAGCAAAACACCTCCTCGAACACAGATCCCTTCCCCCTCTCCGTTCCTGCTCGCGGGTATGGGTGCTTGGTTGTGTTTTGGTTTCCTTCAACGATCGGCGGCTTCAAATCGTTCCCTGTTGGCAGATTCTGGACCACTGGCGGCGTTCGACCTGGATCGCCAGCGACGGGGCCGCCGCCGCGTCGACACGCATCTGGGCCCAATCATGCTCGCGTTGTGAAAAATCGCACGGACGGTTTCGTGCCTTTCTCGGACTCCTGGGGCCCTCGCCAAGCCCCAGAACTGTCACAAAACGACTCGAGATGAGAAACTTGCAGGCTTCGAGCCGCCGGCGGGAAGAGGGCGCAGACCATGCGGCATCCCGAGTGCTGGTGCAGAGCCCCTCGGCCAGATCGTCAACTCATGGGTGCAACCATGATGGGACCAAACTTTTTCGGCCCCAGCTCTCAACGACAGGCGTCCCAATGTTTGACGCATGGCTTAAAGGTGGCCCGTGATAGTGCGGACAACTCTCGTGCCGCTGGCGATGCGATGCGATGAGACAGCAGCCCCGAGGAAGCGGTCGGGTCTTCCAGAGACATGGATGGACAACATCAAGGCATCGCATGTCGAGCGCAAGCGATGTGGTGCAAATTATGTCGAACAAACTGCGTGGTGCAAATTATTTGGTGCAAGCTGTGTGATGCAAGCCACGTGATGAAACCTACGTGGTACAATCTATAAGCTGGGTTGTCTAAATTTGTGGTGCAAGGTATGTGGTGCAACTCATGTGGTGTAATCTGTGTGGTGCCAGCTATGTGGTGCACGTTGTTTGTAAAATCTACATGGTGCAGCGCACGTGGTGCAGGCAAGTTATTGGGGCGCCCACGAGGCGCCCATGGGCGGGAGGACAACTGGAAAATCCTAGGCGACCGTGGTTCGATACTCCCCAATCAAAACTTGCCTCTGTAGGGGTCCTAGCGGATTCAAATGGTTAAGTGAGCTTTGCCGCCGATTTCCATGCCCCGCCCAGGTGCCCGGATGCCCGGGTGCCCGGGTGCCCAAGTGCCCGGGTGCCCAGGTGTCCAGGTGTCCAGGTGCCTAGGCACCGGGGTGCCTTATAGCTCTATAGCCCTAGAGCCTTATAGCCCTACAGCGTTATAGCCCTATAGCCCCATAGCCCATAGCCCCATAGCCAATAGTCCGATAGCCCTACAGCCCTAGAGCCCCATAGCCTTATAGCCTTATAGCCTTGTAGCCCTGTTACCCTATCGGCCGAGAGCCCTATAGCTCTACAGTTCGATAGCCCTATAGACCAATTGCCCTATAGCCCAATAGCCTTATAGCCCCTACAGCCCTATAGCCCAATAACCCGATAGCCCTACAACCCTATAGCCTTGGTAGCCCTACATCGGCCCAGTGAAAGTTCCTTGAATTTTCGTCACATCGCTCGCTCGTGGAAGCTAGCGGAAGTAAAACGAGGCGGAAGACGGCGGAAGGCCGTCGAAAGGCTCTCGGAAGACAGCGGAAATAAATGACGCCCCGCCCGAACACCCCTACCGCCGTAGAAACCTAGCAATGTAGTCTTCTGCCGTGGGCCGGGCGGGATCCCGTCTCACTTACTCCTCTAAAATATTGTAAGTCTACTTCAGCCAAACTAAAAAAAACACCCATTAGCAAAGGGTAAACACATATCCCGGATCGTTCACGGATCCTGCCATGCTGGGATCGGCTCGCAGTAAGATGGGGCTTCGAAGTTGCAGCATGCCTGGCATATCTCGGTCACCTCGAGATCCTATCTCGGTCATGCTTGGATCGCGCAGCCGTCGCGTGCTGAGTCTGGGGCCACCCTGGGCGCGCGGGGACCCATTTGTTGCCATCGGGCCATCCCGGCGTCACTCGCGGCTCGTGTGTTTGGCCATCTTCGAGTCGGCCTGAGACGGTCCAGGCTCCATGAGAAGTTAGCGGGGCACCCGTTGGCAGGACGGCTTGAAATTTGGTGTGCCCACCGCACGGAACAAATCAGAGAACATTGTATGAGCATGAACTGCCGAGATCCGCACGGACTTAGTCAATGCGCTGGACGGAAGGCAGAGGGCCCACGGGCGGCGCAACAGACGCCGCTAAGGGGGAGCCAACGCCGGCACAAACCATTACGTTTACGTATGGTTGTAGTTTCTCTTGGCCGGCTTTACGACGGCTTACGGCGCATTCACGTCGCGATGACGGCGGCGAACGCTCTCCGATATCGTGTGCACCGTTCTACCTTCAGCGGTGTCAGTATTTCTTTCCCCCAGCGCATAACGCCCGATGTCGGCCGACTCTGGGCCACGGGCGGCAGTGAGCCTTGAACGGCCGCGCAAGGGTCGCTGCCGCGCCAACGCGGCGCGAGCCTGCCGCAACTGTCAGATGCCGGGGAAGGTGGCCAAGACGCCCCCCGCCATCTCCGAGGGAGGCCCCCCTCCGCGACCCCCTCCTTTAGACGCGCCGCCGATTGCCTCGTACTACGGTCAGCAACCTTTGCATAGCGTTTCGCGGCGGCGGCACCCGCGACACGCGAAGCCTTTCGAGCGACAGCGTGTCGCTCCGCTCCGCGGGGCGGGATGCTCGGAAGCGCTCGGGATGTTAGCGCTGGTGGACCGGCAAGTGGATAGCATGTCGCTCCGAAGCGCGGTGGGCCCTGGACTCCTGGATTTCGCGCTCTGAGGACTGTTTTCGTGGTCGGCCCCCAGGGAGCAAGAGAAACGGCGAAACAGCTCCAGTTAGGACCCCCCTCCCCCAGGACACGACTCCTTCGTCAGGCCGACCCGGAAACCCTTCACCCAACAGGCCTCTTGACGTCTCACCTCCACCTCCGCCGCCCTCCGCTGGCCGACCGCCGGTGGCCCCGCCGCCGTGCGACTTCCGCCGCCCCACGCCGAGGGCGAGACGCGCGGCAGGCGAGGCCCTTCCCTACAGAGGACCGAGAACTGGTACAAACATAAACCTTCGGACTTTTGCATCGGCGCTGGACCCGCCAGGGGCGGCGCCGGAGGCACCGCGAAGGGCGACTCGGCGCCGATCCAAGAAATCCACGCGGGCCTCCTAAAGTTGATGCTCGAACTGTTGTTTGCCGTGTCGCGGCGGCGGCCCCTGCGGCGCGCTATGCCTTGCGAGCGGATGCGCGTCGCTCCGCCTGGCGGGAGGCTGGTGAAGGCTCGGGACGTGAGCGCCTGGAGACAGGGCCGTGCATAGCGTGTCGCGCTGAGACGCGGTGGGCCGGAACCGGCGGCGCAACGCGCTAGGCCAACGTGCCAACGTTTCCGGCCGTATGCTTATGTGTGCCAACTTTTGTCCCTCGGCTTCCCGAGCACCCTCCAGACATCGGATGTCTTGTCTTGTTTCTATGCGCGGTCCCTGGCAGTCCCGCCCGACCCTTTCCCTGGGACCAGCTTTTCATCCCGAGTCCTCCTTCGCCGGTCCCGGGACCTGGCGAAGGCCCGCGAAGGCTGAGTTCGGAGGAGCGCCCGGGTCTGGCGCCCGCGCGCTCCTCCGAACGCCGCGCGCCAGGCGTCAGGAGCAGGAGGATCGAGGATCGAGGATCGAGGATGGAGTATGACGAGGAGGAGGAGGAGGAGGAGGAGGAGGAGGAGGAGCAGGAGGAGGAGAAGGAGGAGCAGAAGGAGCAGGAGGAGGAGGAGGAGGAGCAGGAGGAGGAGGAGGAGCAGGAGGAGGAGGAGGAGGAGCAGGAGAAGCTGGAGGAGCAGGAGAAGCAGGAGGAGGAGGAGCAGGAGCAGAAGGAGGAGGAGGAGGGAGGGAGGGAGGGAGGTCTGGGCCCACACCGCGCCTGGGGCTGACCCTCTGGTGGCGCGGTGCCCGAGCGGGCGTCGGCCGGCGCCAGTGCCGGCGCGCGGGCCCTGCCGGGAGCGGCGACGAAGGCCGCGGGCGGCCCGAGGAGGCCCAGGAGCGCCAGCGCCACGAGCAGCCCACGCCGGCGGGGCGCCATCGCGGCCGCGATAGGCCCTGAGGTCCAGGCGCCGCCAGTGCAGTCCTCGTGCCAGTCCGGAGCGCTGGCCCAGGAACGGGGCGGTTCCCCTCTGGCCACGGCGAGCCTCGGCCACAGGCACGCTCCCCGACCTAGATCTAAGGAGCGGCCTGGGAACCAGGAGCCCTCCTGCACCTGAAGTGCTCCTTACTTCAGCGTGTTGACTGTGTTGTGTTCTCGGACGTGCCCCTGTGGCACGAAGTGGATTGCCCCCTGATCCCTTGCTCAAGCCTCGAGCCCCAATCTTCTATCCTGGGGATTCTTTTCTGGGGAACCGGACCACAATTCTCAGATCTCTTGGGGCTTCCCGCTTGCCCTCTGGGGAGCGTCGAGTGTTCCCGCATGACTTTTTGGAAACCAAGCGGACCCCAGGACGGTAGATCCAAGACGCTCAAGGTGGCTCCAAGATGACCCGAGAAGCTTTCGAGACGACACAAGAGAGCCCCAAGATCCTTCCCAAGAGGGCCCCGGGAAGCCAAAACCATAGATTTCCCGTTGGTGTTTCATGTTCCTGGGGTCCTCGACTGTTCGAGCTTCCGACGCTCCACGACGCCCCGAGAGGCCCCCAAGACCGCCCCAAGACGGCCCCAGAGGCACCCAAGAGTGCCCCAAGAAGAGAGCCACAAAAAGCTCCAAGAGGCGCCCACGACGGCCCAAAGAGTCCGAAGACGGCTGCAAGAGGGGCCCACGAGTGGGAGCCCGAACCGATAATCCGAGCCTTCATTCACAAGATGCCCCCAGGAGGCCCCGGAGCCCAGGAGGTCCCCGAGACGCCCCAAGGAGCCCCCAAACGGCCCCCGAGAGGCTTCAACACTGCCTCCATGAGGCCCCCCAGAGACCTCCCGCGACATCCCCACGGACATCGGATAGGCCAATGACCCACAACCCAGGCATGGTGGCGGGATAGGCCGAAGGGTCATCAGCTATTGCCTATTGCTTCAGATATTGTTGTCAAACGTCCCACGTCTGGAACAAGACGGACATTTGCTTATCATTTCGGCCTCTGAGGGCCCTCGCTGGGCCCCCAGACCGTCGATAAACGGATCGGGATGAAGAGCCGGCCATGCTGGGAGAAGGCAGGAATTTCTGGGGGCCCCGCATTGACAAACAACTCGAGACACTGGATGCCTGAGATATTGCTCACGTCGGACGTGCGTCGCCCGGTCGCGGGCCCGGGGCCCTCGCGGATAGATCTGGCTCGAGAAGAAACGCCGCGGAGAGATGAGGCCGAAGGATCTCTGGCTGTGACGTTTCCCGGCAAGGTTGTAACGTTTCCGCGGCGTCGGACCTCAGGGGATATCTGAAAGGCGCCCGCTCGGGGGCAGCGGTCTCGGTCGCGTTCAGGTCTGCGGAGACTCGTGGCGGGAGCGGAGGAGAATAAGGAGAGGAGGAGGAGGCGGAGAAGGAGGAGGAGGACTAGTGTAAACTCAAGACGCATAACGATGTTGGAGTACACCCTCCTTCCAAGCTCCCTCTTTGCAGGCCCCTACAAGGGTTGATTTCCACTTTGGGGAATGCGCCGTTGGGTGGCAATCGTGTGAAAATCTTGGCGTGTGCCAAATCACGATTCTCAGGATTTCAACGCCAAAGGTCAACCTGACAGTTGCGTCATGACGATCCTGAATCGCACCAGAACGCCATTCCTGGGAATTTCACGCCTCGAATCAACATAACTGTTGCGCCCTGAAAATCCTGAACCTCTCCAAAACACTATTTCTGGAATGCTAGCTACGAGGAGCCGTGAAACTATTGCAGTTGTTGAAAAGAATGTGCGCGGCGCGACGGCGAAAGCCACATCGTGAAAATGAGCCGCCCTCAATCCGTGAAGCAAAACTCTTGCAAATGTTCAAAACGAATGCGCGCGGCGCTAAGGCGAGCGCCACAACTTGAAAACCAACCGTCCTCAATCTGTGAAGCTCTCGCCATGTTTTAAAACGAATGTGCGCGGCGCTAAAGCGAGAACAAAAGCCCCCAGTTCGTGAAGCTCATGCTTTTGTTTAACACGAATGCGCGCGGCGCTAAGGCGAGCGCCGCATGTTTGAAAACGACGCGCTCTCAGTCCGCGAGGCTCTTGCAATATCTTTGAAGCGGATGTGCGCGGCGCCAAGGCGAAAACCACATTTTGGAAGGGTCCCACCCTCCATCTGTGAAGCTGTTGTCAGTTGTTGAGCTTCGGGCGCATAAGTGGTCAAGAAGACTCAGGCGAAACGCCCCGCCCGCTCTTTCGACTTGCCTCGGGGTGCTACAAGGAGGAATTATTAACAAGGAACAGGAATGAGGGAGGAGGCGGCGGCAGCGGGGGCGGCGGCCGGGCCCGCGACGCGCGGCCGGAGCGCGTGGGCGAGCGCGGCCGCGTGTGCTCCGAGAACTCCGGGACTCCCCGCGGAATCGGGACCCCCAGAGTCGCAAGGAGGAGGAGAGGGAGGAGAAGGAAGAGGCTCGGCTCGGATCGGCTCGGCTCTGCCCTGGTGGGTGCGTGCAGTCTGACACATGCTGCACAAGTTGCACCCCTGCGTGAAGGTCAGGGGAAAGAGGAGGAGGAGGAGGAGGACGAGGAGCCGTTGTCGGACTCGGGGACGGGGACCCCGCGCAGCCATCGTCACAAGGGTGGGGGCTCCCGCAGCGCGCGACGGCCAAGCGGAGCGCCCGCCACGCCGTCGTGGACGGGGTGCCCGCGACCAAGCAAGCCAAGATGCTCTACGAGACCCCACCCGGGCAAGGCCAGACCAAGGCAATCGCCGAGGCCCATCCTGTCCGCTGCTCACCAGATTTCGGGCGTTGTCAGGAGTGGGTTACATGGGACTTGATTTAGTGATGCGTACAGGGGGACCCCCCCCGCCTCATTCCAATTACCGGAACTGCTGTCACCCGAAAAACACCATTCCAGTCCATAGTTTGGGCTTTGGGGCCCAATCGTTCACAAGGTCCTGGCTATACCCGAGGATCGGGTACGCTGCGCGCACCAGCACAACGCCCAGGACATGCGACCTCAGTCTGCTGCGACGGCGTCAGACACCCGGCCAACACTTGCGCGACAGAGGGGGCACGACTGCCACGACTTTCAAGTACGTTGTCATCCAGGTCCACACAGCGACCGAACCTGTCGACCACGACTCTTCCCACCGCCACTTCGCCACGGCCAGGCCACCGGCTACTGGGCCACCGACCCCAATGCGAACCACGGCGACAACGAGGTTCTCGTGCTGCCGGCCTTTCATCCTGCGTGAAGACTGCGCCTACTACGCCACGACCCTCCACGACTCCCTGCCCCACGACCCCATTCGACGGCCCCCGCCACAGCCCCCACGCCCCCCCTACCAAATCTGACCGCCCCCACGACCCTTCGCTCAACAACCCCCGCGAGGGCCGCGCCCCGAGTTAGGAGACCAACGAGCACACACCGACACCGTTTGCCAGAAAACCGTCGGACCAAGATCCTGTGGGCGCTCCCCGCACGTCACCACGAGAGCTCTGTCTCCCCGTTGGTTTAACACGCGAAATCGGCGCATGCGCGCGACCATCCTGGCGCCCCCTATAGAGCCTACCCCACCGAGAAAACGGCCGCGGAAGCGTTCGACGCGATAACGTCGGTGCCCTTTTTGGGGCATCTTGCGGGCCCAAAGAACGCCCTAGCGGCCCCCAGGAGGGCCCCAAGAGAGCCACAAGATGGTTCCAAAAGGAGTCCCAATTAACCCCTGGTCCAACTTCACAGCGTGGAGTTCGAAACGATAACTTCGAGTGGGACCTAACGGCAGCAGCGTCGGGCGTCAGGCGGAGACGGAGGAGAAGCGGGGACAGAGGAGGACTGACCGACTGACGCGCCCCAAGTCGGCGAGATCCCCGAATGAGACTGAAGCCACATTACGTCCAGAGGCTCGTGCGACACTGGACACGGAAGTCAATCAGCGGCAGGAGCCCTGCCGAGGAGGAGGAGCAGGAGGAGGAGAAAGGAGGAGAAGGATGAGGAGGAGAAGGAGAAGGATGAGGAGGAGGAGGAGAAGGAGGAGGATGAGGAGGAGAAGGAGGAGGACGAGGAGGAGCCCTGCCGAGGAGGAGAAGGAGGAGGAGGAGGAGGAGGAGGAGAAAGGGAGGGGGGAGAGGTCAACGGGCGCCTGCTCCTGCCGCCGCCGCCGCCGTTTCTGCCCCTCCTCCATCTACCCCATCCGTCCCTCCATCATCCTGCTGCCCCTCCCCCATCCCTACCTCTATTTCCCTCCGTCCTCCCTGTCCTCCTCCCTCCCCCTGTGCGGCAGATCAAGCCTGCACCCCGCTTCCCGAGTCCAGATTTGGGAGGAGGCAGAGCAGGCGGAAGAGAGAGGACGAATAAGGGAGGGGGATGAGGGGGACAGGCGGAATAGGACGGAGGAGAGGCGAGGTATGACTCAAGACAGACACTGAGGACGGATACTGAGGGGTGCGGATGATGGTTAGGATGGTGCTGACGATTGCTATGGTGCTGACGACGACGATGATGATACTGCTGATGATGATTATGAGGGTGTTGATGTTGCTGCTGCTACTGCTGCCGCTGCTGATGATGTTGATGATGTTGGTGGCGATGCTGCGTTGATGACGATTTGTCAACGGCGGTGATGACGATAATGCGGATGTTGCTGATGCTGATGATGCCGTTGTTGCCGCCGCTGCTGATGACGATGATGTTGTTGTTGATGGTGATGATGATGACGATGCGGCTAATGCCCGTAAGTATGATGATGGTGCTGATGAAGCTGATGCTAATGACGACGATAACGATGAATATGAACATGACGATGCCGATGATGGCAATGATGATGATGCTGGTGGTAGTGGCGGTGATGATGATGCTGATGATGATGACGATGATGATGATGCTGATGATGATAATGATGTTGCTGATGCTAATGTTGCGTATGAGAATGATGATGCTGCTGGTGATACTGATTAAGAGGAAGAAAGGGAATCATGTAGGAGGAGGACAGCGGACGGAACATAAGGGGCAGAAGTAGGATTGGGAGGAGAGGGTGCGGTCAGGGAGGGGAAAGTTGTCGATGGCGAGAAAGCGAGATGACACAAAGGGGGACGAGCAGACGGGACACGGGGATGCTCATTTTCGCACCCTGATGGGGGGAACAGTGGCACGCCCTCCCCCGCCCCCCCCCCCCGAAAAAATCGGCAGCGCAAGCGGTCGAGGACGCGGGGGGCGAGTACGGCGGGGGGGCGGCGGGCGCGAGGCGCGCGAAGCGGGTGGCCAAACAAGTGATCACACCAGAGAACGCTACTGTGAGTGGTTCGCGCGACGAGGTGGGAAGGCATCGTGCTGACGGGCAGGGGCGAAGGATGACGAGTGTGGCTGCCAGGGTTCTCCACTCCCCACTCTCTGCTGAATTATCTCTTTCCCCTCTTTCTATGCACTGTACATTTCCCCTCTCCATGTCATCTGTACCCCACCCTCTGGAACCCCACGGTCCACGTTCTATCATATCATCTCTGTTATCGCCTCTCAACCTGTTGATCTCTATTATCTGTTCCCTGTCATCATCTTCCTGCACACCACGATCTGCTCCATGCTTCCTGCTTGCTACTGTCTTCGATGTGTGATACACTGTCTCCGCCCTGCTCACTCTCTCTCTCTCTCTCGTTCTGTCTCTCTCTCTCTCTGCTCTCTCCACTCTTCCTGCGTTCTTTTTTTCTTTTTTTTCTCTCTCTCTCTCTCTCTCTCTCCCTCTCTGTACGGTAGATCCCTATCCCGACTACATGCGGTTCGAGCACATGTTTGTGTATATCCGCCACCGTGCCATCGGGCACGCGTCGGAGTGTCCTCAATCACCACAGACACAGCACACACACCAGACACGCACACAAAACACAACACACATACCTATCACACACAACCGTCATACCACACGCAAACATTCACACGCACTTGCAGACCTTGCACATGTTCGTGTATGAGCCTGGGCACACACGAGCCACATGTATCCGTATACAGACTATATATACACAGGTGGCACCGTCGGATTCTACCACCTAATTCGAGCTGGCATCGAGTACATCGACCAAGCCAACAACTCTAGCAATGCCATCGCCACTAACCAGGCGAATGCTAGCAGCATGAACGACACTTCCGAGGAATCGAATGGCGTAGCGTACCAACAACTCTGAGCCCCCCTCCAGCAGCGTCGACGCCAACACTAGAACCCCAACAAGGCCATCATCACATGCCAACTGAACCACAGGCAGAACAACCAAAACGCTACCACGAACTCGAAATTAAGATATAAAATATCCTGTGCTGGCTACGACCCCCCCGCTCTATCTATCCTCTCTACTCTATTTGCTCTCTACCCTACCCTCGGAGTATAATAACCCAACCTCTCACGGGAAGCGGAGGGAAACTTGCACAAGACTCCCGAGCTGGGAACCCCAGAGACCCAAAGAACGGGAGATCCGACCGCCAAGGCCTTGACCGAAATCAGCCCGGCACCGTCGCCGACTCCTCACAGCCTCCGCGAGGACCCCTCCAGCGCAGGCGCTGCTCGGGAAACATCCTCCGCTGCACTGCGAGCCTTCCAACGACCGCAGAGATGTGCAAAGACCGCTGAGCCCCGGACCTCTCCCGGGCCGCATTCTGACCAGAGCTTCGGCAAAACCAGCCGTGGCGACGAGGAAAGGGTAGCTGCATCGGTATGTGTTCCTCCCTCTGCCCAGCGGCGAAGGTCCTTCCGCCGCCCCCGCCACGGCGGCCGCCGCCGCCACCGAAGAACGCCTCGAAGATGTCCGACGGGTCGCCCCCGCCGCCACCTCGGCTGCAGCTGGGAGGCGGGCAGGGGATCACATCTGGAAGGCCCCAGGGTGCAAGAAAATCCGCTCAATATCGGTCCCCAGACCCCACCTGGGACTGTTTTTCACCCTGGATCCGTTTTGACCATCCTGGGGCCCGAAAACGGCAGATGCCGCAACTGGCAGACAAAAACCACTCGAACCAAGGGAATTGGGCGAGAGGGGATCAAGGCGAACGTGTGTTTTCCATGCTCGAGAATATGGTGTGCATGGCGGAACCGCCGCAAAGTCATATTTGCGGCGGGGGATCGGGACAGAATGTGAACATCCCCTGCCGTGCTCTTGCCCGTGCCGCGTCTTGCACTCCACATACATTCCTTGAAACTTGCGAGGCAAAAAAATCAAAAAAACTTGCACGATCGCAGCACTTCGAACCCTTGCCCCCCCCCCCCTGCTGCGGCGGGCACGAGCGCCGACCCGCGCCGAGAAGCGTCTCGCCACCCAGTGCCGCCCCAGCACGCGTGTGTCGCCGTCGCAGGACAGAGGCCCTGGGCTCGAGGAACGATCGATCCACGATCGATTCTCGATCGATCTGTCCTCGATCAATCCTCGACCAATCCTCGATCCTTGATCGACCGATGTGCGGCGGCGACGAGAGCAAATTTCTGGTTTCTCTGAAGTTTGGGGAACTCCTCGTCGCCATGACCGGGCCCCACCCGAAAGACCGGCCGGGGCGGACCACAGGAGGGCCCTGGGGGTGGACTCTGAACGGCTCTGGACCGAAGCCACCCGGGGATCCTTGAGATCCGACGACGCGGAAAATTGCAACACGGTGAAAAAACACAGCTGGAGCCCTTGGCCAATCCTTCTGCGCAATTCTTCAAGCCCGATCGATCGGTGAGTCTCGCAGGGCCCGAAGGCGGGCGAGAACGACCGGCTCGAAAAAATTGCAGACGCAAAGATCTCGGGGATCAGAACTCGAGGGCGAAGGTTTTGTTGGTGCTCCTCCCAGGGCACGGCCCAGCACACCACGCCGCCCAGGGCCAGTGGGGAAGCCCTGCAGGACCCCTGCTCTTCTTCGCAGGCGTGGCGTTCGCCTCGGGTGCGCGCCCGGGCGCAGCCTGGCCCGTCCCCTGGCGGCGGGCCAGGTGGTCCTTGGGGGAGCACACTCTGGACACGAAGAGCTCTGAGCCAGTGGGCAATCAGACGTTTCTGGGTTGAAAGAAACACATCCCTCTGTCTACTTCTCTCTCTCTCTCGCCCTCTCCCCTCCCCCTCTGACCCGTCTCTCTTCCTTCATTTCTGTCTTTCTCTCTCCTTCTCTCTCTGTCTTCCCCTCCCCCTTCTGACCCCTCTCTCTCTCTCTCTCCCCCGCCCCCTCTCTCCCTCCCTCTGTCCATCCTTCTCGCTGCCCCCCCCTTTCTCCCCTTACATTGCCGAGTGTCCACGCTGTGCTCGTGGTGCATCCGCATCCGAAGTCCAACATGGTCGACTCCCTAGTGCTCTCAGGCTAGCGGGAGCACTGGAGAGCACACGGCTGCTTGCACCAAACTGATACACGCCGCCGCGTGCTTCCCCATTCGACAGCCGATTCACCCCCTTTTCTCCCTCCCCCGCACCCCCGCACGTCAAACCAATTTCAACAAAATATGGATCCCCCACTGCCTGGGCGAGACAATCCCATCAGCCCCCCCCCCGAGACATGCCCCGCACTCGTTCAACAAGTGACATGTGATGTTCCCTGGGCAGTCGTGGAGCCCATGGAGCAAGTCGGTGGACCAACCTCCGCACGCTCAACGGATTGTCGCGTCCCGCGTCCCGTTAGAGAGTTGACCGCTCGTGAAACAATGCCCATGCCTTCACACATAAGCGCCTCGGCGCCTCCTCGCGTGCACCTCAACACTCACACTGCAGGCGTAACCAACCTTACCAAGCCCCCTGCCAGCGGCGGCGTGCGACACAAAGCGTCTTAACCTTCCAACGCGCACGTGCGTCGAAACACCTGCACAAAAGGTTCTCAACCCGCTCCGACGCAACAACACATGATCCAAAACACGTGCAACAAGATTTACGACAATTGAACTACTTGTTTCTGCATGCTGCAAGAAACAGCCATCGCCAGACGTCTCATGCTAGGTGGACGAGCTTCGAGTCGCGCTCGAACAACATCCTCTGACGCACGCGCTCCACACTCCAAAAGGAAAATTAGTTCACGGAGCGGAACATGTAGAAGGAAGATGTGTGATGCTGATTGGGCTGCGCATGTGACGGGATCAATGCGCCAACTGCCCCAGCAAAGGCGGCAGTGAAATATGCTAAGTGCTACCACCATCCTCTAAGCCCTCCTCGCCGAACCTGTCGTACTTGGCGCGCTTCTCGGAATCGCTCAAGACCTGCATGCTCCAAGTATGGCGCAGATCTAGGGCAATATTCCCGATGGAAACAGCAAGCCAAGACACACGAGACGCTGCGGGAGCAGAAGCAACAGGAGGGAGAAAAGAAGGATTGGCAGGATGTGGATGAATATGAGCGGGGAAAGGGGGTGGTGAAGGACGGGGAGACGAATATGAGGAGTGTGTATGGCGAGGATTGGAAAAGAGACGATGGCAAGCGCGCGAATCAAACAACGAAGCATCGCCCGCGATAACCCATGCCTCGAAGGCCGGCATGTTGCCCTCCGCCTTGTCTCCTGCCTCCTGCTTCCTGATTATTCCACGCTCCTCCTCCTTTTCCTCCCGCCCCCTCCCTTCTCCCTACTCATCCCTCCCCCCTCCGTCCCGCCTCGCTGCATCCTGCACCCATCCTTCCCTCCTTCTTCCTGCCCCTCTTTTCCCTCCTCATCCCTCCTCCCACTCCCCCTCCCCCTCCCCTCTCTCCATCCCTCCTGGTGGAAACGATGAATCGACCTCGGCCGTTTGCCACCGCGCCCCCCGAAGTGGGCCACCGCCGCGCGTCTCGACCAATGAGGCGGAGAAAAAGGGAAGGCGAGTTTTTGTTACCCCAAACAAACACACCAATGGTACCCAACCGCGTGCGCTACGCAAGCCGAGCTGCAATAGGCGAGCCAACACGCGAGACCTTGACCACGAAGCACGACTCACGCCCGCACGTGGGATCCGTCGAAAGTGCTGTGTGTGCGGCGCCGGGGCGACAGAGCGTTAGACAAGAAAGCCCGATCAGAAATCGTGCCCAGTCATGTTCCAAAGCTCCGTTGTGGCACCTTCTACCATATCTTGCCCTTGGGGCTGGAGATCTTGCCCTCGAGGCTGAGGTCGAGAGCTGGAGATGCCAAACCGGCCGGAGGTGGAGGCTGGAAAACCTCGATCAGCACAGTTTCAAAAAGGGGCGGAGCAGCGGCAAAATAGCAAGGCTGTCTTGGGCATGCGGCCGAGACGCGGAACCGGATCCCGTGCCCGAGCGTCGTGGGTCGCAAGGTAAACTCGAGAAGAAGGCGAGTCGCATCGCCGCGCGAAGCCTCCACGGGCGTGCCCAAACGATGCTGGCACAGATTTCTGCTTTCGCGGCTGCGCGTTGGCCCCTGTCAGGTCAGGAGAAAGAGCGTCGCTGAGGAATGAAGAGGGGAGGAAAATGACCCCGCCTCCGCGCAGCAGAGCGGTCGACGAAGCGCGCGGGGCGCGGCCGACGCGCGCGGGGGGACGGGGCCCACGCGAAGCCAGAACCCCCCCGCAGCCACGCGCGGACCGAGCGCCGCCGCTCAGGCGAAGGTCGCCCATGGTCGCCTAGCGGGCGCCGTGGGGCGCCTGCAGCGCCGCGACCGCGGCGCAGTTGAGGAAGGGGAGAGAGGGCGGGTGAGCAACAACTGCAACGACCGCGAAGCGTAGGGAGAAAGGACAATCAGAAAGAGCGTTCTCCCGCCTCCGCGCAGAAGAGCGGTCGTCGAAGCGCGCGGGGCACGGCCGACGCGCGCCGGGGGGGGGCGAGAGGCCAGGCCTCGGGGCCGCCCGCCTCGAATTCGCCCGCCGACTGATACGGGGTAGCCCTCTCGGTTCCTGGGGCAGCCTCGCCCCCCTCGGCGGTCGCCGCGCCGTGGATGGCTTGGCCATCGCGAAGGGCGAAGACCCCCGTGGGGCGCGGTCGATGCGCTTGGCCGCGGGGCGACCCGAACGGATAAGCCCGCCGCTGCCTCCCTCGTCCCAAAGAGGCGAGAGCCTCGAGATCCATCTCCGCGACCTCCGGGCCGACCGCGAGCACGGAAGCGGTCATGCTCAGCGGGCGAGATGCCGCACCGAGCAAAGGCAAGGTGACCACCTGAAGGGGTCCCACAAACCATGTGAATCCTTCCGCCCCCGCCAGACTGGGACTGTCGGCCGAGCGGCAGGACCCAGGCAGCGCCAGCAGGGTGCCCCCAGGCCGCGAGGCCAGGGTGATCGCGGCGTAGCTTAACCCCCCTCGTCCAAGCGCCAGCGGTCGTACTTGGTGGCCGACGGCGCAGTGATCGGGTGCAGGTCGGGCCAAACAGGCCCATCGAGGATGGCGAGTCCCCCCGGGAGCCACGGCATCGGCTGCCATTGCTGGCAGCGCAAGCCGGGTGACCCGCGGGCCACCCAAGAGGACTAACCTCGGGGCGGAGCAGCGAGCGGGCCTCGCGAAAGGGCCCGCGCGCGCTCCTCAGCCCGCGCCCCTGGGCCGTAGGACAGGGCCCGCTACGCGCCGCGACCGTGCACGCCCAGGGCACCGATCGCGGCCCGCGCGCGGGGGAGCCCTGTCAGACCCCACCAGCGGGCCCCCTCAGAGACTGCAGGAGGCCGTGGCCCCGAGAAGTGCAACAGCCGTCGAGAGCAGCACACGGGGTGCCCCCGCTGTTCCGGTCCACCGCCGGCCCCAGAAGCAGACGCTGGGGCAGGCCGAGCCCTCGGGCCGCAGAGGGGCAGTGCCCACCTCCGCTCGGGTCGGCCCGTGCGGACCACGGCATCCCCCCGGAGGGGGGCGCCGAGGTCCGCGAGCGAGGGGAGAGGCTGGCCCACGAGCTGCTCTTAGAGCGCGGTTCGTAAGCCTCGGAACAGCAGCTCGGCCGCTCCCGAAATGGCCGCCTGAACGAGTGCCTGCACACGGTGGGCTTGGGAGAAACGCCTGCACCGACAGCGAAGCGCAGAAGGGGAGAATAAGAGAGAGAGAGAGAGCGTACTTTCCTGCACGAGGAAAACCTCACCAATTGTACCGTCGGCAAATGCATGCCCCTGGCTATGCCGCAGCGCTGTCCTGCGAATGGGCCACAACTTGGGGCCCACCTTCTTGCACACAGAGGAGGGAGGGGACGGGAGGTGGCGGAGAGGACGAGGATGAAAAGATCATGACGATGATGGTGGCGACAATGATGACAGCTCTGGCGACTGAGAAAAGAGGGCGGGGAAACCGAAGCGCGGCGCGCACTGATCAAAGCCCGCGCGGTGTGCCGTCGCGCGCGGCTCCATTCTCGGTGTAAGCCCCGTTGCGTAGTTCGGAAGTGCGCCGCGCAACTCCCAGCTCGGCCACTACGCTGAAGCATCCCTGGCCGGGTGGGCCTGGGAGACCTGGTGGGTCAGAGAACAGGGAACGGCACGCCGAGCAAACATTCGCAACCATGCAAGCACCGATTCAGGGTGTGTCCTTCTCAAAATTCGGCTCCCGCCGGATCGCCGCGCACATTCGTCCTGAGAGTTTCCATCGCCTCGCAATCGCTAGGACGTAAATGTCCCAACCATCCTGTTGTGTTGGGTCCTCGTTTTGAAAAGACGGTCCCCGCGTTCCTGCCCTCTTTCCCTCCTCTTCCCCACCGTCTTCACCGCCCGCATGCGCCCCCCACACCCAATTTGGCACACCCCTCATACGTTTCGTGGCCCCATAGGGAGCTCCACCAAAGGCCCCAGTGCCACCGCCCGCACGCGTCCCCAACATTCAATTTGGCACACCCCTCACACGTTTCGTGGCCCCATAAGGAGCTCCACCGGAGGCCCCAGTGCCACCGCCCGCATGCGTCCCCCACACAAATTTCGGCACACCCCTCACACATTTCGTGGCCCCATAGGGAGCTCCAACAAAGGCCCCAGTGCCACCGCCCGCATGCGTCCCCAACATTCAATTTGGCACACCCCTCGCACGTTTCGTGGCCCCATAGGGAGCTCCACCGAAGGCCCCAGTGCCACCGCCCGCATGCGTCCCCCACATTCATGTCGGCACACCCTCACACGTTTCGTGGCCCCATAAGGAACTCCACCGGAGGCCCCAGTGCCACCGCCCGCATGCGTCCCCCACACACACACACACATGTTGGCACACCCCTCACACGTTTCGTGGCCCCAGAGGGACCTCCGCTGAAGGCGCCAATGCCGCCGCCCGCATGCGCCCCCCACATTCATGTCGGCCCACCCCTCACACGTTTCGTGGCCCCATCAGTGGGTTCCACCGAAGGCACCGCCCGCATGCGTCCCCCACACCCATGTCGGCACACCCCTGACACGTTTCGTGGCCTCATAAAGAGCCCCACCGAAGGCCCCAATGCCACCGCCCGCATGCGTCCCCCACACAATTGCCGGCACACCCCTCACACGTTTCGTGGCCTCACAGGGAGCTCCACCGAAGGCCCCAGTGCCACCGCCCGCATGCGTCCCCCACATTCAATTTGGCACACCCCTCACACGTTTCGTGGCTCCATATAGAGTTCCACCGAAGGCCCCAGTGCCACCGCCCGCATGCGTCCCCCACACACATTTCGGCACACCCCTCACACGTTTCGTGGCCCCATAGGGAGCTCCACCAAAGGCCCCAGTGCCACCGCCCGCATGCGTCCGCCACATACATGGTTTCAGGGAACATCTCCAGACCTCTGGGGGGAAAGAGGAGGCGGAGGAGGAGGAGGAGGAGGAAGAGGAGGAGGAGGAGGAGGAGGAGGAGGAGGAGGAGGCCCGCTCCCCCCCGTATGCATGTTGCTTTGCACTCGCTTTGCCCAGCGGTCAGAGCCGTGCCCGCTATCAGCCAGCCAGCTAGCTAGCTAGCTTTTTTTGCTCCGCGCAGCGGACGACGCGCGCGCGCGGAGTCCCCGCGACGCGCGCGCGCGTCGCGGGGACTCCGCGCCGCGCTGCGCCCGCAGCTTTGAACTTTGGAGCGCGCGGGCAAAGAGGGAGGAAAAAAGGGAAGGAAGCGGGCACGATCCTCGTGAGGGGCGTGCCAACATGGGCGTCGCGGCGTGCGGGCGCTGCCGCTGGGGTTCCCGCGGAAACTTTCTGCGGCGGCCACGCTCAGTGTCACGAGTGCACAGACCGGTATACCCGAACCGTTCACATTCAGATACATGTGCACGAGGCGTAGCCATGATCGCATTCGTGCATATATAGTCGCTCGCGCGCAGGCTCATTCACACTTAGACTCACTCGCGCTCAGATTCACCGGCGCTCGGTCTCTCGTAATTAGACCAATGTGTACCCCGCCACATTTCGGCACGCCCCCGATACGTTTCGTGGGCACCACCGAAACAGATATTCACAGTTGCGATACTCCACCCAATACAGCGTTTCGTGGCCCAATGGGGAGCCCCACCGAAGCCCCCAGTGGGACCGCCCGCATGCGTCTCCCACACCCAATTTGGCATTTTCATCTACCCAGTACAGCGCTTCGTGGCCCCATAGGGAGCTCCACCGAAACCTCCAGTGGGACCGCCCGCATGCGTCCCCGACACCAAATTTGGCACTTTCACCGGCCCAGTACAGCGCTTCGTGGCCCCATAGAGAGCTCCATCGAAGCCCCCAGTGGGACCGCCCGCATGCGTCCCCCACGCCCACCTTGGCATTGTCACCCACCCAGTACAGCGCTCCGTGGCCGCATAGGGAGCTCCACCGAAGGCCACAATGCTACCGCCCGCCTGCGTCCCCCACACCAAAGTTGGCACTTTCACCGACCCAGTGCAGCGCTTCGTGGCCTCATAGGGAGCCCCACCGAAGCCCCCCAGTGGGACCGCCTGCACGCGCCCCCCACACCCAACATGGCTTTGTCACCCACCCAGTACAGCGCTTCGTGGCCCCATAGGGAGCCCCACCGAAACCCCCAGTGGGACCGTCCGCATGCGTCCCCCGCACCATGTTTGGCATTGTCACCCACCCAGTACAGCGCTCCGAGGCCCCATAGGGAGCTCCACCGAAGCCTCCAGTGGGACCGCCCGCATGCGCCCCCCACACCAAATTTTGCATTTTCACCCACCCAGTACAGCGTTTCGTGGCCCCATAGGGAGCCCCACAAAAGCCCCCAGTGGGGCCGCCCGCATGCGTCCCCCACACCCAATTTGGCATTTTTACATACCATTTACAATGCTTCGCGGCCCCATGGGGAGCTCCACCGAAGCCCCCAATGGGACCGCCCGCATGCGTCCCACACGCCTAATTCGGTATTTTCACACACACACACAGTGCAGCGCTTCGTGGCCTCATAGGGAGCTTCACCGACGGCCCCAGTGCTACCGGCCGCATGCGTTCCCCCCCCGCCCAGCGCAGCTCTTCGTGGCCCCATAGGAAGCTTCACCGAAGAAGATATTCACAACTGCGGTACCCACAACTTCATATGGTTGGGTCCTTCGCCAGGATAATTCCACTGCGTACATATGTTGTTTTCCAAATATTTCCCGCGAGATGATGTAAGAGGCTTTAGTCCTAGATGGTTCAAACGTTGTGGCGCTGGCCTTGCCAAGACAAATGAACCCGTCCGAGCGATGTCAGGACGTTCAGAGAATGGAGGGCAGGTCGTTTTCAAAATGCGGCTCTCGCCAGATCGCCGCACACATTCGTGTTGAGAGCTCCTAGCGCTCAGGGAACGGATGGTGGGTCGCGTTCAAAACGTGACCCTCGCATCAGCGACGCGCACATTCGTTCCAGAAGCTTCCAACAGTTGCAAGCATGGAGGGCGGTCTTCCCGCGGGAAACCACTCGTAGCGCTGCCTCGCCTGCCGTGGGGAGGTTGCGGCCTCCGCTGCCGCCCTCGGCAAAACAAATAGGGCGACGATATCTTTACGCATCCACCGCTAGGCCCATCCTGAACCCGGCAGCAATGTAGACGCCACGCCCTCCTGGCCTGGCCAGAACGGCGTGTGCACAGCTCCCGGGCCTGGCCAGGGAGCAGTGTATATGTATACATTTCGTCGCCCGAACAGAAGAAGTTGGCCAGATCGAAGACTCTCACAAGCTTGGGCTGCGGATGACGCACCCGCCGCACTGCAAAGATGAAACGAGCAGGGGAGGGCGAGTGTACCAAAAGAGAAGGCAGGGCCCGATCCAGGACAACCACATTCGCTTCTTGTGGGCTCGACTCCGCGATCGTCAAGACTGGACATAGCTCGCTTCTCAGCCGTAATCTGTTCCGTGCCTCATCCTCCAGTCCTTCTCAAAGCCGTACCCCGCGGCGATTATATCCACAGCAGCGCTGACTGCTTCAGCACCAAGCTCGCGCATTCTGCCGCTTTGCCCAAGCTCGCAACTTCCTCGCCCAAACCTTCGCGCGTGCCGCCTCCAACTTCCGGTGTAACTCTGCGCGCACGTCCGCCCAACTCGGCGATGTTTGGCTTCGGCCTCACACTGCAATTCCTGCTCCGTGGGTGTGCTCTTCTCGCCGTCAGCGTGGCGCGGTCCTCATTCGGGCTTAGGCCCAAGAGGCCCTGCTTTTCAACATTGGACGGCGGGTCGCTATGACACCATTCCATCAGATGCTGCGGCAAAACTAACCCGTAGGGTCCAAACGTTCGCTCTGTTTTTCTTTGGGTGGTGGCCGTATGGCTGAACAATCGCTAGGTCCCCAGAAAAGCCCAGAGAGTATCACCGTCGTTCTGAAAAGTGCAGCGGACACTTGGTTACCCAAGCATGGAACATGACGACAAAAACCCGGTGGACGCCTCAAAAGGCACTGTGCTGCAGGGAGGAGAGGGAGCGGCCAAGCGTGAGGGAGCGCCACGCCTCACGAGCACGAGGCCGATCGGACCCAGCGGTGACAGGGCCGATAGCTGCGGGGTACGTGTGCAACCACCCGCTCACCTGGCCACCATCCCGAGTGAAAAGTCGTGGCTAAGCGTGAAGGAGCGCCATGCCCGACGAACACAAGGCCGACCGTAGCCAGCGGTGACAAGGCCGATAGCTACGGCGTACGTGTGCAACCACCCGCTCACCTGGCCACCACCCCAAGTGAAAAGTCGTGCACCAGGCAATCGGAGCAGCTGCAGGGCAAGCAAGAGGTACCTCGTCCACGAGTATGTGAGCACGAGCGTCGCCGAACGTATCCAGTCAGACGCGGCAGATTTCTCAGGATCCAGCTGCGCGGGCACGTGCCTCAAGCGGCGTCCTTCACTGCTGGCAAGGGGGCGACAAGGTTCAGGCACCGCCGCAAGCAAGACGCATCGAGGACGTCGACAATGGAGTAACACCCACAACCACCCACAACAAAGATCGATAGTTGACTGACCCCACCATCGTCACTATAATCTAAATGTTATGCAACAAACAACAGCTACTATTGCCACTGCCACTGCGACTGCGACTGCCGCTGTCATTGCCACTACCACTGCCACCAAAATCGCTACCGCTATCAACAACTACAACTATCACTTCCGCTACCTACCCAGGCAGCAATCACTACCACTACCACTACCACCAAAACTACAAGTAGCACGATGACGGCTATGGTGAGCCCTCTTCCTGATACTCCTCAACTCAGCCTCGTACGCCCGAGTAATTTCCTTGAACTTCTCTTGGTCACCGCCCTTGTCGGGGTGGTGCTTCACGGCAAGCTTCCTGCAGAAACTCACTTATTACTATCTCCCATAGCATGGCCTGCCATGTTTGCGGCTACTGCTATTTCTCGTGATACTTTTCGTTTTCTCCGTATTTGCCTTCCTTGGTCCCACGGCGGCCATCCTTCTGCACAGATCGTGGGCTTCCGATGACTCCTGATACAGAACAGCAAGCGACGCCATCCTCGAATCCATCCTCGGATTTACAAAGCTGCGCGAGGACTTTGATTTCACCTCAATGTTGGCCTAGGGCAGTGCAATGAATCGAACATAGGCCAGGGATTTTGCGATGCTAGCCCAGCCGACTCCGGACGAGTCGTTGCCTCCAGCCCTCTTCTCCCTGAATGTGTCTGTGCCTGCGCCTGTGATTGCATTACAGTGTCCTCATGTCTATGCTCTATGCCAGCGTTCATTAGTCTCGCTGTCTCGCCTCTCTGTCTCTCTGCTTCTCGCTCTCTCTCCCCTCTCTCTCTCTCTTTTTCTATATTTCCCTCTCTCACTACACACACGTAACTACACGAATGACAAATGCGTGCCCAGGCTCGTACCAATCGACCGGGAACGTGCGAGCAAGAGCGATGAAAACATGATCGAGCGATGAGGCAATCGACATAGGGCGCGAACCTTCAGTCAGTCACCATTGTGTCCATGAGTGCGTTAAGCAACTGTGTTGAACACGCACTACTGAACACTCGTGTGTCAGTGCCTACGTTAATCAGTTGCGCTGAACAAGCATCCCTACATGGGGAAACTTGGGCACCACAGTTCAGGGCACATACATGTGAACCTACAACAGCTGAAGCCAACGACCACCGATGGTGTGTTGGAAATGAAGTTCGAATAACTCGATTCCCTTGTACTTTGCAGACTCCAGGCGGTTTCGTGATGAGTGCATCCAGCTTTCAGGGTGCTGAGAACCTCCCACACGAGACGGCCAGAGAGCTCTTGACGCCGACACCAACACTTGCCTCCCTCGGAAAGGGCGCGTATGTTCCGCCATCGTGCCGTAGGCACGCAATGTCCTCAAGTTCCCTTTGGTTTCTCTGTATACTCTGTGAGGGGTCTGGAGCCCCAATCGCCGGATCTCCTGGGGGCTCCCAAAGGCGCCCCGCGTGGATTTCAGCAGCGGTCACGCGTCGTTGACAAGCCATGTGTTGTCCCCGTACGAGCTTGACCGCCAAGAAGCCTCCAGGAGGGCCCCCAGAGACGCCCGAGATACCTCAGGAGAACACCAGGAAGACCCCCAGATGCCCCCCAAGGGGCCCAGGACAGGCCTTCGAGATACGCCCAGAAGGTCCCAAAAGACCTCCAGGAGGGCCACAGGAGGCATCCCAAACGACCCCAAGAGACATGCAAGAGGACTTTGACAGAGAGCTCAGGCACAGTGGCGGGATGAGCTGAAGGCCACTATATGTATTTACATTTAAGCTTCATGCTCGCACATATACATGCAGATTGTAAATTCTTCGTCTAAGAAGACTGTGTGCACTAAGGGTTCCCACCTCCCTTCATTGAATCATTTGTCCACTATTCCGTGTTCGCCACGCTGCAGTCCGTGTGGCCTCGTGGGCGCCTCGTGGGCGCCCCGAGCTTGTGGTGTATGCCGAGGTTGTGCCACGTCGCAGCCCGTGCCGCCTCGCGGGCGCCCCGTTCGCCAGGGGGGGTCTGTCGAGGTTGTGCCACGTTGTCGCCCATGCCGCCTCGTTGGTGCCTCGTCCTCTGAGCGTACACGACGTGGTTTTCACCACATAGCTTAAATCACATGATCTTACTTCACACAGATTGCATCGCGTAGCTTGCATACCAGACCGTGCATCACATGACAGTGACACTCCATAAAATTGACCTACAACTAACGCCGCACAGTTTCCACACCAGAGCTTGAACCACATGGCTTAACCCGTCGAATTTCCACCTGAATTGTTCACACGGAGTAGCTTGCGCGGCAAACATTTCACCTCATAAGTTGCACTACGCAACTTTCCACTTCACAATTGGTACCCTATAGCTTACACGTGATATTCACCACAGAACTTACACAGCATGGCTGTCTGTCACTGTACTATGCACACCAGACAGTATCCCAAACAGTGCTAGCATTTAGGGGTCTCGCGGATCTTCTGGATTAGTGGGAGGGTCTGGGGAGGCTTCGCCCTCATCGTCCTTGGGCGCCTCGTGGGCGCCCGGTGCGCGGACTAGGTCTGGGAGATTTTCGCCCTCGATGCCAACCGTCGGCGCCTCATGGGCGCGCCGTGCGTTGGCTGGGTCTTGGCAGGTTTCGCCCTCGTCGCCGCCCGTGGATGACTCGCAGGTGCCCCACGTAATTACTGGCTGCACATCGGTTGTGCTAGATAGGTTGCACCACGTAGCTTGCACTGCACAACTTCTACCGGATGCAGACGGCATTACAGATATTGCACCACATAGATTCACCCCACGCATATTGCACCGCATAGCTGGCACCACATGGGTTGCACCTCGTGGATTGCACCACGTAGCTTGCACCACATCGCTTGCATAACACAAGTTGCATCACAAATCCTTTGCGCCACACACAGTACGCATCCAGAATTCAATAATACGTTGTATGGGGTCTGTGGCAAAGCGGGGGCAAGGAGGAAACCTCACGAATATCACGAGCATGCTGGACAGCTCTGGGGACTCTTCCCGCGTCAGCGGCCCTCCAAACTCCACTCCTCCTCCTCATCTTCCTTCTCCTCCTCCTCCTCCTCCTCCTCCTCCTCCTCCTCCTCCTCCTCCCCTCCTCTCCCTCCGTAGCCACTTCGGCGCGGCGGTGGCCACACGCGTGTAGGAGAAGAAAGGCTATTGGGACGTATCTGAGCCGACTTCACAATCTGGGCCGGCGCATATGCACAATCAGCTCCGCGCTCTTCCTCCGAATTGTCACTTCGTTTTCCGGAGATTGCGGCCATGTGTTTTCTTGAGCACCAAATACCAGACACGCAAGCGGTGAGTTGTCTGCGCAGGGAGACGAGCCGCAACGCTTCTCGCTCGCCGTGCTCATCTCGGGGTAAGACGCACTCGGGTCGTCTCTACGTGCGCATGGCGGGTTCCAGAAACTCTGCGATCAAAAAGCTGCCACCCGTTAAAGGCACACGTTTTACTTCCGCCACCTTGCGACCGCCATCCGCTAGCAGAAACGTTCTCAAGTACTTCCTTTTTTGTTCAACCACTGCGCCCAGGAACCTCCAGGGAAGGACGCTTCGTGAGGGCATAAGAATTCAACCGACATCAGCGCGTTCGAAAACCTGCATTCCGAACGGTGGGCCCACCGAAAATGCGCATGCGGGCTTGGACGGAGAGGCCGCCCCCCCACCCCCGCGCGCCCCCGCCTCTGCGGAGGGGGCGCTGTGAGAGCGGCACCCTCGTCCCCCTCTGGGGCATGGGCGGCCGCTCCCCTCAAACGAAACTCAAGGGAGCTAAACCGAGAGACAGCACAGGAAAGAAGACAGAAAAGCGCACATGTCCGAAGCAAGCCACACCCCACCCCAACCACGCACCCGTTCGATCCTTCGAACTCGAAGCACACAAAGAGGCTCGGCCAGAGGACCGTCCCGTCAAGGATGCGGGCGCGGAAGCCGCAAGACGCGCAGGTGGGTGAATTGTCGGTTGGGTGGGGGCTATGCTCGGGGGCAGAGCCCCCGAGCATCACCCCCACCGCCATCGCGGCCGAGGCTGAAAACTCGACACATCCATCGAAGAAAGAGTATAGTGTCAGCGACCACCAAAGAATACGAGATAAGCCTCTACCCATCCACATGCTAGTCTGTGGTTCGGCTCATCCTCTGACGCTTGAACAAACTCGTGAGGGTCCCATCTGGGCGGGCTACTTCTTCTTCGGCTTCTTGGGAGCTGCCTTCTGCTTGCCGCATTTTCGGAAGGAGAAATCCTCGATCTGTGTGGCTACCTTTGAGCGCTGTCCGCGGTCGTGCCCTAAAGGACGTGGGCGGCCTTGGGCGCGTCGTTGGCCCTGGGGACGGTCAGCGCCAACTTCAAGTCTGGGTGGTGGTTGACTGCCCAAATCCAACGAACTCGATCTTCGGCTCCTTCTGTCAGCTTGACCTCGAAGCATCACGTCGCACGAACGACCACGTCCATGTCCTGAGCGATGACCCCCCCCCCCACACTGCTTCAGCATCTGCAGTGCGTTGGGGACCTGCCCGGGGGGCTGGCCGTTCTTCGCCGCGTCCTCCACCTCCTTGGCGTTGCCCGCGCAAGCCTCGGCGAGGCGGAAGGTCGCGCCCCTCAGGAGCGCGCCTGGCTTCTTCCCGATCGGGCGTCGCTGGATGTTCTCGCCCTACCGCGCGGCCTTGCCCGTCGCGATGTAATTATGGGGGCCTTCCCCCAGCGCCATGTCGAGCTTCGTGCCGACCTTGAGGGCGGGGGTGAACATGTCGCCCCTCGCGTCGGCCTGGCGGGCTGCCCCGCGCTGGAGCAGGAACCGGCGCATCAAGTTCTGGAGGCGGTCATTGGGCTTGATCTCGTCGTTGTTCGAAGTGTCCGTTTGGCCCACTCCCTCGGTCTCGCTCTGGCGCTTCACTCCCTTGGCCCCCGCTATCGGCGCGAACGTCGCGAGGCTGGGGAGCTGTGGGATCGGCGGCAGGCTGGCCGGGCGCTTGGGCTTGGACCGAGGGCAACAGGGGCGCGAGACATCTTCGATTGAGTAAGCGCCTGAAGATTGCATATGTTCGGCTTAATTAGTTCCCGCACCTCGGGCGCGCCAACGATCGTAACTGTTCATCCGTGAGATCCGTGGGCTTCGCGTACATCTCATGCGTTAAAAAAATGTTCGCTAGGCCCTCGGGGCCATGGCGCATGCGAGAACAGGTCGGGCTAGGTAGTAGTGCGTCAGGTGGGTGGGTGGGGGGGGGGGAAAATCCTGCAGCTACTCCCCCCTCGTCATCCGCGGCCGTTCGCCTCGCTCTCCTGATTCTAGCCCTGGGAACGCAGCGCAACCACCGGAGCCAGGGGCGAGTGGGGCACGGAGGAGCATCATGGAGGTCGCTGGCAACTCGGGCTTCTGTTTGGGCCTCAGGGGGGAGGGCCCTCGGCCCTCCAAAGGTTTCTGAGATCTTCTTGAAGCGCTCCCAAGAATGGGGGTTATCTCTCTGCGTTCGGGGCCCTCAAAGCTGAGCATGCCAAGGACTGCCGCTCGTGCCATATTCGTGGGGTCGTGCTTCGGGTCCACGGGGGGCTCGTCGGGGCCCTCCTGGGCCTGGTCCTCCAGAGCGTGCTCTTGAAGGTCGGGGGAGGCAGGGCGTCGGACACCTTGCCACCAAGCAAGACGGCGATCCAAGAGAGTTGAAGCTACAGTAGGTACACCTGTTCGCTGGCGGACTGCGGCATTACTCTCATGATGCACATGCGCGGGCGACCTGGCCAGGAATCTCCACTTTCTCGTCTGCCAGTTCTCAGGGCAAGTCACATCGCGCTTAGTAAGCACCGCGACTCCCAACCCATAGGGCGACGACGAGCGGACCAATGAGCACCGCAGCCGAGCTCTGAGTGCAACGCTGAACTGCCCCTTGAAAGCGCATCGGGCGAGGCGGACATTGGCTGCATTTCCTCCTTGGGTCCTACGGGCGACCTCTTCGACCATCGCGCTGTCATCACGTTGTCTAGCTCCAAGGTATTTCGCACTAGAGGCAGCGTCGATCGGGCTCCCATCCGTGATAATGTTTGTTTGGTTGGATCGGATCGCGGATTTTCGAGCTTCGCTTTAACTGCTGGCTGCGACGATGGGCAGTTTGGTTTTCGTGTCATTCACTTTCATCTTCCCTTTCGTGATCTCGCGTGTCAGGGAGGACAGGGACCTCGATGCCGATTCGAAATCCTCGACGACGGTGAACGCTATCAGGTCGCCTACGAAAACTATGGGAGATACTGTCAGGCATTTCTCAGCATCAGCCCCAGGGAGGAGATGGACGTGGCGAATCATTTCCAATGTCGGATCAAACGCCACAGAGACCACGGTGACTTCAGACTCGGCGCGGCTCTGCTCCAGGCTGGAGGCGAGGAGGTCGCGCGCGGCCACGAACAGGAACGGGCCTTCCACGCCCCCTCGCCGTACTCCTCTGGGGATCAGCAGCTTCTCGGTGGGCTGGCTGGTTCGAATGTCTCGGCCGGTGTAGAACGCGCCCACATGGAATTCTTCGACTGCAAGACGAACGCGTCGCTTCAAAGCCAACCGCTCCAAGGCAATCCATATCTGATCTCTGCCGATCAGGTCGAAGGCCTTCTCGAGGTCAATCAGGGCGGCCACGGGCACCCCTGGCATCGTACTTTTGCCCAGGCGAGATCTTCGTCCACGGAGGCGGTAGCGGCGTATCACCACTGCCACAACGGCGAGAGCATCGCGGGTAGATCTGCCAGCAAGCGCGCCGCGCTGCGAACAGGAGAGACGGGGGGCGAGGCCGCGAAGCTGTGGCATCACTGTCACATTCCTATAGACATTGTCAATGTGGTTTATCAGATTGATGGTTTGATCGTGGTCCTTCGCGCTTCTGCCATCTCCCTTGGGTTTGCGAAGCGATACTGTGTCCCCGTCTTTGAACCGTTGGGCAGAGCGCCCAAGAGCTTGGCATGCCTGAAAAAAATCCGCGAAGGACGGGGGCCGTCTTTGAAACCAGTAGTTTTCCCAGTTCAATGATCGGTCCGTCGGGCGGTGTGGCCAAGGGGTCAAGACTCTCTGCGTCGGTCATCTTCAGGACAGGGGCGCTCTTGTAGTTAAGCATCTTGAGGATGGCTCTCCTGACGTCCTCGGCGCTGTATGGACCGATGCACGAATCGTCCCGGGGTAGCAGACCAGGTGGCTCACCAGGATTAGACATGTCGATCACCGGGCCATCGAACATGCCACACAGGGCATTGACACGGACTTCAGCTTGTTCTTCTTCTGCGTCCATGCACACATGTTCCCAGAGGAGGGGTTGCAGACCGTCACCACAGGTGCGGATGGCTTCGGGGCTACGCGGCGGATGACACTATGGAGTTCGCGTAGGTTCCCAACCGCGTCCGCCGCCTCCGCCTCCTTGGCCGTATCAGCGGGCCGCTGGGATCGTTTAGCACGTACTGCTCTGGCCGCTGCTCTGGCGGCCTCGTCGAAATCTGCCTGGGGGAGGGCGTGGCCGTTCAAGTCCTGGTCCAGCACTCCTGCCATGTGCCGTTGAATTCTGGGTTTCTTATCAATCAGGGCGAGGGTCTCGTCGGTCAGCTCGGGGCGAGTTCTCTTCTTTGGCTGGACGATGTAGAAAGGAGCCGCAGCTTCTACCAGCGCGTTCTCCACAGCGGTGAAGTAGTCCGAAAGCGTAGCATATCGCTGGTTGGTTCCACATTCATCCTGCCACAAACCAGTGATCTGTCGTTGGTCGGGTAGGGCGGACAAATGCGCTCGCCTATCACGAAATCGTTGGGGAACTTCGGCATCTGGGTCTCTCAGGAGCTTCAGGTCTTGCATCAGGGCATTTCGGTCCCACCGCAATGGTTTCTCCTCAGGTGTTCGGCAGGCCCGTAGTCCAGAGAAGATTGGTGCGGCGACGGGTCGGTGATCTCGATAGCCTCCTACGCTGACAGGAAGTTTCTTGAGCGGGGCCGCGCACTTGCGGTGGGACCCAGAGAGTTTGGAACATACATAGTCACTAGTAGTCCATCCTCGTCCACTGGTATGCTTCCATGCGCAGTTCTGTCGTGTCGCCTCGCCGAACGCGTTGAGGGCCACTAGGTTGAACGTCTGCAGGAGGTCCAGCAAGCTGGCGCCAGTGCCGTTGGTGGCCGCATGGAAGCGTCTCTGTCCAGCAAAGCCAACGTGTGGTAACTGCGGGAACACGGCGGCGTTAGCATCCATAGTGGCCACCAGGGCCGCACGACGTGGGATCTGCTGCAGCGCAGCTCTGCATTGGCTCCAATACTTGTCCTGGAAGTCGCGGTGAGCTTCAATTCTTTCGTGATGGTCCACCCCCAGTCTCGCATGGCTCACCTCATTCAGGGGGGCATATCCGTTTTGCATGTAGATGTCGCGTTCCTTGGGGCCTCTCCGTGCGAGACGGATGCCGTGCAACCTTCCATCCATCCAATTGTGGGGTACCCGCAGCTCGGACAACTGGAAATGGCGGAGGCTGAAGGCGATCAGGCATCCGTCGCGGCAGGTGCGGGTCGTGCGGGGCGTGGGGGTAACCCTATATCCTTCCGTAATCCAAGGTCGGCCGAACTCCAGTAATGTACTCTGTAGGCACACCACCGAAACTTTAGCTTTGGTAGCTTGTCGAAGTATATCTCCGGATGGGCGGCTCGCGAGCTGGGTGGGGGGGGACATCGGTGGGATCTGTCGGGCTGGGAATTTCGACACAGCACGCCCTGAACGTGCGCAGAATCCTTTGAGCCACCGAGGCTTCTCAAGTACTTCCGCCGGCCTCCGCCGACCTTCCGCAGCCTTCCGCCGAGGAAGAGATGACCCCTTCATCCCTCAAAGGCGAGGTCATGTCTGGAGCGCCCCTCATGTGCGACAGGAGGGGGAAAAAGAGAGAAGGGCACATCGTCCCCACTGCCGCGCTCCGGGTCGGCTCGGAGCGCGGTCCAACCTCCAAGTGGGGAGCAGAGAGCGCAAAGCAAACAGAAGCGTGGCGCCTGATTCCAGCCAGATGCTCCCGATCGGCCTTTCTGGGGCAACGCTCGGAGGCGCAGGCAAAGGGCCTCCGTGACATGCGCCTGGATCGCCTGTACGTACACATGCGCGACAGAAAGGGGGATCAATATTGAAGTGGCGCATCGTCCCCAAGATGCCCTACAGATGCCCTCAGCAGGCGCGCTCAGCAGGTCGGCTCAGGGAGACGTCCACCCTCCAAAATGGGGACACACACGCGCACCAACCACAGAACACGTGGGGACTGCTTCTCGCCAGATCCGACCGATCGGCCCTTCTGGGGCACAACTCGAATGCGCAACTTTGAGCAGGGACCGACCCGTCCAGCATTCCTCTAGGCATACCCTGGCAGGTTCTTATAACAAAAGAATGCTTCATACCGAAACCAACGTTCTTATAGCATAAAGACGTTCTCAGCCAGAACTGCCCTACGAACATGTCGTACAAACCACAGTAGGATCTTAGACCACTTTTCGGCAGGGCTACTGTCAAGCCAAGACGCCTCGCCACTGCTTGAGCAACAGCAGGGCTCCCGTTTAAACATGTTTTGTTCTAGGGGGGGCGCTACCAAGCCTTCAGAAGACGTCGACCAAAAAGAGAAGTGGTTGGCACGGCATGGTAGCGCATGCAAGGTTCCAGCACACGGGATGGAGGGGGGCAACCTGAAACGCCACAACTCGGCGGCGAGCCCAGGGGGGAAGTGAGAAGGGGTGGGCCTTCTCATAACTCGTGAGCCCAATGGCCTTCTGGAAAGTGGCCTAAGCCTTTCCCGAAGAAACAAACATCTTTTCAGAAGGCGTGAGGGCTTCTGAAAAGTCCCGCCGCCTTCTGAGAAGGCCTTCTCCTCCCCACTTCCCACCCTCGCTCGCCGCCGAGAATTATACTTTGTCGCCACACCAGGGCCCGACCGGAAGGGGGACCACAAGCACGGAGACGACGCCCAGCAGCCAATTCTGTGCAAAACCGACAGTGGCCGCCGCTGGGCAGGCGACGCCGGCCCCAACTGGACAAAGAGTCCGCGGCAACACCGGCAGCGAGTCCTGTAAAAACACTGGCAGGATCTACTGGCGGCCCTCGTCCCCACTTCGGGTGTTGCTGGAGAAGTGCCCCTGGCCCAAGGCGCCCACAGGATTCCCGAAGAGGCCCCCAAGACCTCAAGAGCACCACTCACGAGGCCCAGAAGGCCCTAGGGGCTGCAAAATTGATCGGAAAGCTGGGGGCACCTTGGGCCAGGGGCAGCTTTACCAACCCCCGACCGTTGATTCCGTCCCCATTTCTCGGCGGTGAGCCTGGGGGAAGTGAGATGAAGCGGACCTTCGCAGAAAGTTCGGAAGTCCCCGGCCTTCTCAGAAGTGCTTGAAACGTTCCCCGAAGACACAGGAAACCTTTCATAAGACCAGAAGCCTTCTGAGAAGCCCCGCCGCCTTCCGAGAAGGCCTTCTCCTTCTCACATACCCCTCGCTCGCCGTCGAATGTCGGTCCCCCTGCGAACCGCATGTTGCGCCACTACTCAGACTGCGCTACCTTACCACGGGAATCGCGATACCATGCCTCACTCGAGGGCCCAGAAAAGCCCCAAATCTAGAGAATCCCAGTGCCAACTGATGGAAGCAGACCGTCAAGAGATGCTCATTGTGCCCGCTGGTCCACTCTCGACTCTCATACGCCACGAATATGTATTTGTGTATATATATATATACACATACATACACACAGACGCCCTCCGACGAATTTTGCACACCACTATCCTCCCCTGAGGCCCAGGAACAATCCATTGGAGGGTGTCTGTGAACATTTGTGGCGGATCCACTGCGTACTGCGTGTATTCGCATGGGCATTCACGTAGCGACCAACCCCGTGCACGCGCCTGTGAAACATCCGCTGCGATGGAGACAGAGAGCGTACACACTGCGCCAGCTCCTGTAGGCTTTCTTGATCTCGGCATCGTTTGCGTTCTTATCGACCTCCAGAATCTTGTAGAACTTGGTGGTGTCAGCAGGTTTGCCGCCACCGCGACCGCCGCCCTTGCCACCTGGCGGAAACAGCCAGCTTACATACCCTCGATCGGCAAATGCTAAGCACTGCGAGATATACTGACTAACGTACGCGTCCGGGGGCTGCAGGCAAACAGCCAGACTTGGCAGGTACGTCGCCATCGCTCTGCCTATCCAAACGTCTTTTTCAATATCATTGGCCTTATCTATGGCAAACCCCTGCGGGTTGAAAAATTGGGGTTCACTCAGCCTCCGAGGCTTATCCTAAACCGAATTCACATGGCCAAAACGCAGAAACAAGCATGCTTTGGGCCAGGTGCACGCGAAGCCACTCGGGAGCACCACGCGCCGTTTAGGAAATCCGAGGATGTACCATCGCCATTCTAGCAAGCTGGACACGTGCGCTCGGCGCAAACAGCCCTGTGCCTAAGTCTTAACCATCTGCTCCATGTACTGGTCACGTGTCTTCCTTGATGCAGGGCCAATCGCGAACAACAGAAAAAGGAGGCGGAGGAGTAGGACGAGAAGGAGGTGGATACAGCGGAGGAGGAAACGATGGTGATGCTGATGATGATGGTGATGGTGCTGATGTTGATGCTGATGCTGATGCTGATGCTGATGATGATGACGATGATGATGATGATGATGATGATGATGATGATGATCATGATGATGACGCGGTAGTGGATGTGGTGTCTTCGCCTGGCAATATGCCAGATATTGCTGTCTTCTCTTGCGACCCTGGCCCAAATGGGTCAAACAGCGTGGTGGTCGTCTCGTGGCTGAGCGTTGCCTGAAGAGCCATCCTTGGCCCATTCGCATCTACACAAAAATGAGGGCTAAGGGGGAGCTCTGGTTGCCAGCCTGATGCAATGAGTGCCTGAGCTGCGGGCGAGCCCAAGGTCTAACAACGCGCGCTCTCCCAGCTGATCAGCAAAGGCACTATGGCCAAGATGCGCTCGCCCACAGCGGGTTCCAACCCAGCTATCCTGCAGGAAAGCACCGCTACCCCCCCCCCCCCCCCCACACACACACACAGACACACACACACACACACGCGCATCTAGAGTTCAAGTCCAAGCGCACATTGAGCAGTGGACAGAGACACGAAAAGGCGAAGGTCGCCTTGACCAACTCCGTGTTCGTCGGTTCTTTCTGGGCATCGAGATCCGAAAACTCCCCTGAAGGTGGGCTGCTCACGTTGTTGCATGCCGCTCTCGATCTCCACAAGGATCGGCAGTTCGTAAACCCGAAAATCTCGGTGGCGACCTCTTTGGTCGAGGCCACCTCACGCTTGGCCTTCCCCTGCGCAGGCTGCTGGGCCCCTGCTGCCAGTGACGCCACTGCCGCCACAGCCACGGCATCGCCGCAATAGTTCTGATAAGTGTTCCGCTGCTTGTTCTCCGCGGCCTTGCCCTTGCCCGGCGGAGCAGGCATCAGGGTCGCGACGCAGCAGCCGGACCTGCTGGAATTGACGTCAGATGAGCCGTCCAACAACAAGGGCAAATGCGGCGACGTGCCACCGTCACCCAATAATAGCGTAGTCCGCTTTGACATGTGCAGTGCTGGGGCCTCCTCTGCAAACCTCCTAATAAAAAAGGGAAGCGATAGTCCATCGACCCCGTGTCGAGAACGCGCGTCAAGGCAACCGTCGGACCCTTCTTCTCTAAGGTCTTCTCGGCGCCGACCGTAAACCTAACGTTGTGCCTCTTGCCGTTGCCCTTCCCCATGTCGGCGTGGCACTTCAAGGCTCGGTTGTTGATGTCGCTTCGGACGTCATGCATGAGCTGGCCCTTGACGTGAATCTTGAGCTCGCCCTCGCTATCGGCTATGTTGAGCCACCAATTGCGAAAACCAATTGGCACTGGGGCATGGCTGGCTGTCTAATGCAGGGCGCGATGGCTGAAACACCCGCGCACTGTAGTCGGCCTGTTGACGAGTGCCCTCAGCCATGCTGCCATCGGGTCCTGGATCTGGTTGGAAGCCTCCAGCTCAAGCTTGAAGGCTGCGTTGCAACTCGTGACCACCGAGCTGATGTTCTGCTGGCGGTCTGCGGGGAAAACGCCAGCCCTCGCAGTCCCCTTGGGCACCCGTCGGCACGGGGGCCTTGTAGTGTTCCAGGATCTCCACTATTTTCTCTGAGCATGTCTTCTCCAACTCGCTTGGACAGCGCCTTCGCTTGCCCCGAATGTACAGGCCGTCGTCGGCCGCGCACAACTCCCACACATCGAAGCCTTTTGCGTCGGCGCCCACGAAGAAGTCAACGACGCCCGCCCCGCCGCTCAGCATGATCTCTTCAGAAGTCGCAGGGCCAACGTTCATCGCGCGCGAGTTTGCACTGTCACTCACCGCGAGCAGCTTCTCGATGATATCCTGGGGCATAAGTGGCAAATGCGCGCCATGCGTGGTCTCGCGCGCGCACTCGCCCTTCTCGTCGAACTTCTGCATGCCGACCAGCTCGAGGCAATGCGCGAGCGCTGCGATGCGCAGCTTGTAAGACGGACCAGCCACGTTGAAGATGTCGCGCCCGTAGGAGGCGCCGTAAAACATGGGCTCTTTTCAAGAAGGGCTGAGTCCAGACGGAGCCAATCCACGCTGGCACCCCGCGCATGGACTTAGCCACCTCTCAAGAGATAAGGTCCAGACGGGGTTCGCCCAGACGGGAACCGACCGCGCCGCGCGGACTCGCGCGCGTGGACTTGGCCCCCGCCGATCCATCCCGTCGCTGACAACACTCTGTACAACGCGCGACAGTCGCCCCCGCACTTCGGCGGCACCTCGTAGACCTGACTGGCCGCCATGCGACTGATCGCGGGGCGAACCTTCTTGGCATTGCTGAGAAAAGCCACCGCTGCTCGCCGCTCTATTCAACGGCGCCGGCGTCGAGGCGCGCGCCGGCGCCCGCCCCCGCGCGCGCCGAGGCAACGACAGGAACCCACTCGGGCCTAGACACATCGATGAATAACGCGATGGCTGAAGCTGCTTCCACATCGGCCCGCGCGCTGCCCTGGACCCCATCGCTCAAGTCTCCCGCCAGCAGCTGGCAGGCGCCCTGCGACGCGCGCGCCCCCGCGCGCCAGCGGGCAGCACTCCGCCAGATACGCAACGAGGCCGAGAAGGCGGACTTGGACTGCAAGCCCCCGTGCCCGCGCGCCGATGCATCGACGCGGTCGCGAACCCACTGCGCTCCGGAGCGGTCGACGCGAACGCGCCCCAATTCGCGCCTTCCGTCGGGCTCGCGACCGCCGCCGCGCAGCCCCGCGCGCGCGACGGAGCGGAGAAATTCGCGGGCGCCAGCAGCGAGAACAAGAGGGGGAGGGGGAGGCAAGCAGCAGGGGGGGACCCGGGACCGACGATAAGCGAGGCGGCAACAACGCAGACCAAACGGGGAGCAACACGTAGAGGAGCAAGAGAGCAGCAAATCAGAAGGGACGACCGGAAGGACGACAACGGGAACCATCGCCAAACAAGGCAGCGGCAGCCGAAGGGCGGGATGCAAATAAACGCGCTAGACTGCGCGCACAGCCCCCGAGCGTCGAGCGCCCCCGAGACCCCAAAGAACGGGCGTCTGCAGCTGTCTGCCAACGATTCAATCTTGAATATTCATTCGTGAAGAGATACGAATGAAAATTGCAAGACTGCGCACGCCGGACACTGCCTGGGCACATCCGGGCTGGACTGCCGACGCGGCGCCGCGCTAGCGGCGGAACCAAGCAAATGGCGCAAGCCGGCGGGCGCGAGCTTTGCGCGGCGGGCCATGCCAGGGGGGCGAGTGCGGTGGGGCGATGCCATGGGCGAGGCGGCGCGGTCGGATTACTGGCCTCTCTAGCCCAGGGACTTTGCCCAGGGATGAGGGGGGCGAAAGGGGGGAGGATGAGGGGGGGGGGAGGAAACGCTCCAGAAACGCGATCAGTTCCAGCAGTGCGCGAGGTCATTGATGCGCACAGCACGGCCATGCCCGCGGACCGCCTCGCGGCACGCCTGGCCGAGGGCCCCCGTCACCGCCGGGCCCCTGGGGCCTGGGGGCAGGGCCGCGGCTGCGCAAGCAATGCGTGCGACGTGGCGCCGTCGCGCGGACGGCAGCGCAGACCGCCCTCGCCGGGTCCCCGCCCGCGGAGGTCCAAACCGAGGATGGCGGACAATCGCGCGGCCGGCTCGGCGGCGCGCGGCAAGCCCAGCCGTTCGCCGACCACCCCGCGCAAACAATGGCAGAAGAAGATGCGTGGGCACGTCGCGCAACAGCGAGCACGCTACGCACGTGGCGCCATGCGAGCCCTCGCCCCGTTTCCCCGCGCGCCCACCAAGCCCGCGTTGGCCCTGGAAGAGCAGGCCCCAAAGCTTGACGGCTACCCTCTCTGATGTGGGCCCATTTTTGCACGCGCGGCCCAACCCGAGTTGTCCCGTCGGCGGCCCAACAGCCCCGCGGCCCATCAATCCCATGCAACAGGCCCACTACTCGCCCGAATCCACCTGGAGACGAAGCGAGAGCCCGGCGATTGGCGGCGCCCGACCAATGCGCGAATTCACGCGCATGACCAGTCGCAATCAGACAAATACGGCCGTTTGCCAACGGCTTCTCCGCGCCATCGCAAGCCCTGCGTTCAGCGACTGCCACGCCAACGAGCGAAGCCGCCCCCTTTTGCGCCAAGCTAACGCGGCGCGGCCCTCCTCGACGATAGGCCTGCTCATTATAGAGAAAGGTCTGGACTTTTCTGGGCGCGCGACGTCTGCTGCCATCGCGCGCGCATCTGCGTCTGGTTCAGGACAGAAGACCTCGCGCCCATCCGCGTCGCGCGCCCGTTCGAGCTCAGGCCCTGCACCTCCGCCAACCACCCCGCAGCCGTCGACGTCGCCGTCGCCGAGAAGCTCGCCCACCCCCGCCTGCGCCAGGACCAAGCCCAACTCGATTTCAAATTCAAGGTCAACGTCCAGAGCGCCACCGCCGTGAACTGGCTCGCCACCTTAAGGCGGTGAAATCTGGACATGCCCATCCACCGCCCCCTGGACAGGCCCTTCCTGAACCCAGCAGCGGCGCGCGCGCCGCGCCCCCCTGGCTGCTGGGGCCAGGGGCGCGCGTGAACAGCTCCCAGGTCCAGGGAGAGCCTGGCCAGGGAGCTGAACATGCGTAGGTTTCGCCGCCGACGCCTCCCGCCGCCCCAACT